ACGCTTAATTTCGACAAACGGAGTGGTGTTTTCGTTAAACCTGATGTGGATGTCGAGTACATAATGAAGCCAGTCAAGCTGAAGTCAAACAATCGACTGACGTTGTCAATTGTCTGTTTGGCACGTATGCTTCGTGTGTGTATGGTGGACGCAACCAGTGGCGTAAATCTGTGCCGGCGAGTGGGGGGGGGGGGGGGGGGGGGGGGTGACGAAAATCCAAAAATTGTCCGGGCGTGAAAATTCGAAAGGGAGGGGGACACCACATTACACTACGGGGGCGCTCTGCGCAAGATATAGATGTAAAGCAATATGTAGACTCGCGCTTACATCAAAACGGCGCATTTTAAAAGCTTTCGTACTTTGTTTCCCCACTTTTTAGTTCTATTGAATACATTCTTGTTGTTGGGATGTTCGACAAATACCTCGAGAAAAAGTGTGGGGGATGATTCAATAGCTCATGCCCCTGGTCAAAAAGTGGGGGTGATTATATACCCCCATCCCCTCCCAGGATTTACGCCCCTGGACGCAACCTTGGTGTCGATACAAAAATGTCCATTGAGAAATGGTCGCGAATTTAAGGAACACAATGTTGCAGCTTATTACCAGTTACACTGTCTCTGCCTACACTCTCCTTAAGGTGTATACAGTTTCATGAGGTTTCAACTGCTGAATATCTTCCAGTTAGCGTCTTCTGATGCAGTGAAGTTTCTCTCCCAATCTTCTCAAGTCCCCCTTCAGTATCTCTCTGTATTCTCTCTGCAGCAACGTCAGGATCAGCGTCCCAAACGCGGCCTGGCAAAGAACGAACATTGACCCGATTAGAAGGACAACCACAAAGGCAATATTACTATTGAGTGCGCCGGTGTAGTGCACGATGGGTAAGGTGACCACCACCGGAGTCCAAGCTAGGACGAAGGACAAGAAGAAGATGGAGAATTGCCTGGTGCTCCTGCGATGATCGGCACCGGGGAGATGAGGCTGGTTGCCGGGGGGTTGCATCCGATGTTCACCAGGTGGCCCCTCCATCATCTCGCGGGGGGCGGCTGGTAGATCTGCCGCTATGGCGCGAGCTTGGTGCCTGGCGATGCGCACAATTAAGATGTTGAACACAGTGATGCTTGTGACGCAGGGCAAGATGATGACATAGGAGAAGATGATCGCCAGAATAGAAAAGGATGAAAACACGAGGTCGGTGGAGAAGTCCCCCATCAAGCATGATGCGTGAGCAGCGGCCCCAGCCAGACTCCCTGCCGCGGACAACCCCCAAACTACGGACAGGCAGACGGCACACTTCGCCCGCGTCATCTCACGCGCGTACACGAAAGGGCGGGAAATCCTGAACCATTTGTCGCCGGCTATGAGGACCGCATTCAAGAAATACCCCATGACAGGAAAGAGGATACCCCAGCATAAGAAGAGAACAGAGGCAAAACTGAATTCCGAGCTCCTGGTGAGGATGAAGATTGCAGGTAAACCACACACCGCTTCTACAATCTCGGCCACCGCCAAGCTTGCCAGGTAGGAGTCCGAAGCGGTGTGGAGTCTCCGAGTGCGAGCCACTGTCACGATCACCCAGAGGTATCCCACAAGCATCAACAAACCAGCCAGCAAAAACAAAACAATCAGAACAATGGACTGCGTGTCATTGAAACCAGTGCCTTCATCATTCTCCTCATCCTCAGCAAGCAAAGTTGTGTCCGACAAAGCCATATTGTTAGTCAGTCAGATTGATTATCAAGACTGTGACGAAAATTGCGCAGCAGCTCTGTCAGATCCCAACCTCGACACTCGATCGAAAACCCAAGCATTGAAGTTTTACATTAGAGAATAGTATCTCGCCATATATTTCGACATCTATTCAATATGGCAGAGTGGGTTCAAATTTCTACCAAGTCCTCGAACATCCCAACCAGAACAAGCCGTCATAATGTCTTCGTTAAAATGGGTAGACAACAGAAATTATATAGGCGTGTCAACAAATGCTCGCACCCAAGCGATCATTCACGAATCACCGCCATTTTGTTTGCTCGCCATCGAATCGGTAAACACGCTCGTTCGGTCTCGTTGGTAAGTAAATTACAGAATAAGGCTATTCCGCTCATTGAAAACTTAACTTGGCCTTCACACCTTACACATGACCATTAAGCGAATTGCCTCCAGGAAACTGCCTCCATTCATATCACCATGGCAACTTATACTCATGGCCCCCATGACAATTCTCTCTCTCCAGAGTTGAAATATAAAAAAAATCAAAAAAAAAATCGACATAATACGGTTAGACCAAATTGCGGTCATGCATTTGTAGCGGACCTGCGGCCTTACAAAAAGGGGTCTTACGCCAATAAGTCTTGTCATCCACCCCATGTTTAGGTAAAGGGACGTAGCATAACTACGGATCATTCTGGAGTTGAGACTTTCAAAGAGGGTCCTCATTTTCATGTAGATGTGTGTCTATGTATATACATTCAAATCGTGGACCTTTGAAACAATAGAGGACCCAGTTAGTAAATCGTTGGGGTTTTTTATAGTGACTATAGTCACGAGTTCCCAAGGGCCTAATATTTTTTGGGTGCCACCAAAATGCCGATTATAAGGTTATTTTCCTGTTTATGATACAAATCTTTATACAAACTGGCACGCTTACAATACACCACACCAAGAAGGTGCAACTAAAACTTTTGTCCTGTTCGTTCTCCATTTTCAGTGCTATGAAATGTTAGACTGTTGGAAAGTTGAGTTGAGCGCCCCTTAGTGCAATATGGTGTCCCCTTTCCCCCCCCCCCCCCCCAGCACACACACACACACGCACGCACCCATTCTCAAATTTGTATCCTTGTGGAGACATTCCTTTGTTCTCGTGTAGTAAAGTGTTCAATTTTGAAAGTGAAGTTTCAAAATGCTCTTATTTTAACCAGAATTAGTTTCCTTGGCTAAAATTTGGACTTAATATCCCTTTTCTAAAACTCTTGCATTTGCGACAAATCAACCCACCTTGGAAATTCCTAGTTTTTGAGTAAAACCCATATATCTATTTCGTGAAAACCTTGTGGAGACCTATTCATCTATAGAAATTGCCCTGTGGAGACCTTTACAATGTTTTGTTCCCTATTGTGTGTGTGTCTCCACAAGGATACAAATTTGTAGTCACCGTCGCTTGTTTATGTGAATTCTGCAGTGTTTACGTCATCGTCCTGGCATTAGCATGTCTTTTTTTATTAGTCTTTTCAATTCGTGCCATCCATCAACCTTCAGTTTCCCCATTAGCCATTACTGTTAATTAATTGTCAAACCAAAGCAGAAAACATTAGAGCCTGGTCGGGTTTTCTTTTTTTTTTTTTCTTATTTAGTGCCAGGTGAAGCTCTGTTTTGAAGCTTTCAGTTTGCAGGGTTTTTTTCTCAGTGATGTCAAACTTACCAATAATATTTAAGCGTGCTCTTTTTAAACTGTGTAGTGAATAGTCGGGGTTGTTTTATCAATTATGTCAAAAGTAGATTCATGGTAATAATATTGTGACGCTGTAAACCGAGGTTTTTTTCTCGAAATGTCGAAAGCATTGTGCTAGCTATTGTTCATATAACCAGGGAGCTTTTCCTTTGTATATTGCTTTTCTCTATTGCTTTCCTCCATTGAAGGGGGCCTCGCAGTGGCGTAAATCCCTGCCGGCAAGTGGGGGGGGGGGGGGGAATACCACATGGCACCAGGGGGCACTGTTTATGATACCAAATGTACATTTTTATGCAAACTGGGACGCTTTCAATACATCAAAGACGATGCATCTTAAGCTTTTTGTTCGTTCTCCGTTTTCAGTCCATTTGGGCTGTTGGAAAGTTGAAAAATAACCTTAAAATCGGCATTTTTGGCTTCTCACCACAAAAACATGGGGAGGGGTAAATCCAATGGCCCGTCCCCACTGGTCAACAAGTGTGCGTGTGGGGGATATCACCCCACTGACTTAGCAACTCGTCTTCTTTTGTCTTCTCCCACGTACCCCATTTTTTTCTTTACCGGGAGGGGGGTGGGGGTGGAGGGAGGCATGCGCCCCCCCCCCCCCCCCCCACCATGTCCCTTTCTGGCGAAGCCCATGCCCCCGGGAGTTACACCTTTTGGCTTCGTGACTGTACTGTAGTCACGTGCCCCGGTCCGTCCACAGAAAAACAAACCAACGATTTACTAACTGGACCCTATTGTCCTCTATTTTTAAGGTTCACGATTTGAATATGTATAAATGGACACACATGTACATCTACATGAAAATGAGGACCCTCTTTGAAAGCCCCACCCCAAAATGGACCTTAGTTTTCTACGTCCCTCTCCCTAACATCGGGGGTGGGTGGCAACTGTAAGACCGTTTCCGTATTAATCCGACAGCCCCCTCCATGGCAAGACCTTCAACTATTAAACTGTATAATGAACAGTTTTTTTTTTTACTTATCAAGAAAGGGAATTGTCATGGGGACCGAGTGTATCAGTTGCCATGACAATATATTGAATAGAGGCAATTTCCTGGGGGCAATTTGTTTTGTCCTAATGGATACATGTGAGATATGTAGGCCAATTAAAATTATCAATGAACGGTGAAGCGGCATCCTGTAATTACCTGTCGACGAGCGTGCTGATCGAAGCGATGGCGAACAAACAACACAATAATGGCGGTGATTCGTGAACATCGTTTGGCCTTAGGCTTGAGCAATTTATTGTTGAAACGCTAAATTGATGTTGTTTACCCATTCTAACGAAAGATTTTGAAGAAATATGACTGTTTGTTTTGGTTGGGTTATTCGAGGGCTTGGTAGGAATTCTTACCCACTTTGCTTTTTCGAAAAGGTCTCGCGAGAGACAGTGCTTGGATTTTCAATCGAGTGTCGAGATTAGGATGTGTAACTGTTGCACATTTAAATATATATATTTTTTAGTGAGGACAGATTTTCGTGTGGCTTCTTCATTTCTATAAACTGGCTAAATATGTCTTTGAAGAACATCCTTTTGCTTGCTGAGGAGGATGCAGAGAATGATGAAGGCATTTAATGGTTCAGGTTCTGGGGACAATTTCACCGAAACGCAGTCCACTGTTCTGATCACTTTGATTTTGCTGGCTGGCTTGTTGATGGTTTTGGGATACCTCTGGGTAATCGTGACAGTGGCTCGCACTCGGAGACTCCACACCGCTTCGGACTCCTACCTGGCAAGCTTGGCGGTGGCCGAGATTGTAGTAGCGGTGTGTGGTTTACCTGCAATATTCATCCTCAGCAGCAGTTCCGGATTCAGCTTTGCATCGGTTCTCTTCTTATCCTGGGGTATCCTCTTTTCTGTCCTGGGGTATTTCTTGAATGCCGTCCTGATAGCCGCCGACAAATGGCTCAGGATCTCCCGCCCTTTCGTGTACGTGCGGGAGATGACGTGGGCGAAGTGTACCGTCTGCCTGTCCGTAGTTTGGGGGTTGTCCGCGGCAGGGAGTCTTGCTGGGGCCGCTGCTCACGCATCATGCTTGATGGGGGACTTTTCCAATGACAGCGTGTTTTCATCCTTTTCTGTTCAGGCGATCATCTTCTCCTATGTCATCATCTTGCCCTGCGTCACAAGCATCACTGTGTTCAACATCTTAATCGTGCGCATCGCCAGGCACCAAGCTCGTGCCATAGCGGCTGATCTACCAGCCGCTCCCCGCGAGATGATGGAGGGACCACCTGGTGAACATCAGATGCAACCCCCGGCAACCAGCCTCATCCCCCCGGTGCCGTTCATCGCAAGAGCACCAGGCAATTCTCCATCTTCTTCTTGTCCTTCGTCCTAGCTTGGACTCCGGTGGTGGTCACCTTACCCATCGTGTACTATACCTCCGCAACCGAGAAGATTACCGTTGTGGTTTTCCTGATGATCGGGTCGATGCTCGATCTATGCCAGGCCGCGTTTGGGACACTGATCCTGACGCTGCTGCAGAGAGAATACAGAGAGATACTGAAGGGGGACTTGAGAAGATTGGGAGAGAAACTACATTGCGTCTGAAGACGCTAACTGGAAGAAATTAGCTGCTGAAACTGCGTCAAACTGAAATATACCTCAAGAGTGTGCAGGCAGAGACAGATAATAAGCTGACTGGTAATACGCTGGAATATTATGTTCCTATGAACTGGCAGAACAATTCTCAATGCATATGGTATGGACACAAACTCTATCCACCATAACACAGTTTTAGTGTCAAACTAACATTCGGGACCGAAATTGACAAGTGTATCTCGCGTCAATCATGCATGACTTTGTGCGTTGTTATACGACGTCATCTCGACTGGCGATCTGGTGTACTTTAACTGTTACATTAAATTGACTGAAGAACAGCATTCTGTTGGCCGAAATTAAGCGCTATCCAAATGTATCGCGATGTTCTGTCGACTGGCTTTTGTGTTTACATGTACTTTGATATAGATTATTATTTGCGAAGATCACTTGAAATCACTCTCTAAATTCTAAAGAGTGAAAATTCACTCCATTCGAGTGGAGATTCACTCCCACAGTCGGAAACTAGGGGCTATAGACGTTTTAGAGTGAAATTTCTTCAATCGTAAAGATCGAGGTTTCACTCGAGCTTCGACTGAAGTGGTTCATATCAGACTATGTCAATCGAAAATGAGAGTAATTTTCACTCTAAAACGACTAGTCCCTAATTTCACTCTTTGGAATTTAGAGAGCAGGGGCGGCGGAACGCTTTTTAAACTGGGGGACCTACTCAAAAAAAGGGGGCACCTTCCGTCGGTGTGAAAGTGGTGGAAAATGGTCCAGTTCATTTTGCTATAAATCGATACGACGAGGAACAAATTGTGAATACGTTGTCTATCTCTCGCTCTTTGTGTTTATTTTTAGTCATGACAAGACAGACAATTTCTTTTTATCGCGAGAGGGGCATAGCTGTTTTTGATGTTTATTTTTAGTCATGACAAGACAGACAATTTCTTTTTATCGCGAGAGGGGCATAGCTGTTTTTGATGGTCAACTATTCAGTAACCATTTAATTCACGTGAAGAGCACTAATTGTTTTTAGGGGTCAGTTAAGTTGAAAGGGGCACAATTTTAATGTTGCGAGCGGGGCACTCATTGTGCATTGAGTTGCAGTTTTCCATCTCGAGAAAAATTATTGTGAGAGGTTCACGATTGTTTTTGATGGCCACTTTTCCATCTCGAGAGGGGAACAATGTTATTAATGCGAGAGGGATATTTGTGCTTTCAAGGGGTTGTTTTCAATCCTGATAAGGTGTACAATCTTGTTAATGCGAAAGGGGTACTTGTGTTTTTGAGAGGCAGTTTTGTTTTCATCTCGAGGGGGCACATTTATAACCGGGATAGGGGCCACATTTGTTGGCCTGGGAAAATGGGGGCGGGGGGGGGGGGGGAGCGCCATCCTGTCCCCGGCCCCAGTTCCACCGCCCCTGCTTGCACTTTGGTTATTTGTTTAAAAATGTATTCTGCTTGAAATTTCAAAAGTCGGGCCATTTCGATGTATGTTCTCGATCTTTGTATACGATTAATTGAAATGTTTTTACAACCTGTCACAAAACTTATAGGAGTTATCAGTTTGGTCCCAAAAATGTGGGCCTTGTGTTGCCAAGAATTGCACATTGCCTTTGCCTAGGCCCATCGCACAATCGTGTGTGGCATTTAAAAAATATATATATATAACTATATAGTTAACTCCAATAGGAAGCGCGGAAGTTTGTCTTAAGTTAGAAAGTTTTGATGCTTGATATTGAAGATGGCGTTTGGGGGTTTAAATAAGTCTCCAGAGTTATGTTTTCAAGTTTAACTATGAATACCAAATTGAAATGGTTAAAACTACCGCACTTTACGCACATTTTTAACAAAAGGGAATATTATTATTATTATTATTAATCATTTCTGGTAATGAAACCAAGGATTCCTCAAAAGCGCCCTAGGCACTGTAGCTCGCAAGCCTGAAGAAACCTGTGAAGAGAAGACAATGAGAAGAAGTTACAGTTTTAGAGGTGGGAGGAAAACCCTAGAAGAATAATCTGGGGAAAACCCACGGAATCAGGTAGGGACTGAAAACCCAATCCACATATTGGCCCAGGCGGGATTCGAACCCGGGTCACAGCGGTGGAAGGCGAGGAAAGTACCGCTATGCCAACCTGACTCCCCATCTCATATTGTGTTTACACATTTCAGCGGAACGTATATTGGGGAGGGGTAAATATTTTTCAGTGTAAAATTCGTGTCATGAACACTTTCAATTGTATTTTACCAAGGAAGTGCATGCCCTGTCAAACATGAAAAGGCTATTTAGGTCCACGCATTAATGTGAATTCTGCATATAGTTTGCATCATCGTCATCGCATTAGGCTAGCCTGTCTATAGTCTTTTAGATTCGAGCCATCCATCAACCTTCAGTTTTCCCATTAGCCATTACTGTTAATTAATTGTCAAACCAAAGTAAAAAACATGAGTCTGATCGGGTTTTGTTCTGTTCTTGTTCGGTGCCAGGTGGAGCTCTGTTTTGAAGCTTTCAATTTGTAGATTTTTTTTCTCATTGATGTGAAGCTTACTAATTATAATTTGCAAGATTTGTTTATAAAATTGCGCGGTGAATAGTCGTTCCCTCCTTTATTATATCTATCAAAAGTAAGTCGTATGGTAACAAATTGTGGCGATGTAAACCGAGTTGTTGTTTTTTTTGCGAAATGTCGAAAGCATTGTGCTAGCTATACATTTCATAATGGGAGCAGTTGCTTTGTATTGCTTTTCTCTATTGCTTTCCTCCTTTGAAGGGGGCCTTGCAATGGCGCAAATCTGTGCCGACAAGCGGGGGGGGGGGGGGGGGAATTGGACACCACATGGCACTATGGGGCACTGTTTATGATACAAATGTACATCTTTATGCAAACTGGCACACTTACAATACACCAAAACGGTGCATCTAAAGCTTATGTGCTGTTCGTTTTCCACTGTTCAGTGCTATTTGATAGCTGTTTATTTTGGCTGTGGTAAATTTGGAACATAACCTTAAAATTAGCATTTTGGCTTACCATGCACAAACATAAGCGGGGACAGTGGCGCACCCCGGATTTGGTTGGGGGGGGGGGCTCACAATTTTTGGTTTCGATGTTAAATTTTTTCAAACAATTTTGCCCAAAATTTTGGGCCGCAGAAAAAAATTGGGTTTTGGGGGGACGGACTATTTTGACGTTGGTGACGCCACGTAAATCGTGGAACTAAAAGAAATTAACAACAAATAAATAAATAAATTGACAACCTCTTGGGGGGGGGGGCTCAAGCTTCCCGAGCCCCCCGAGGGCCCCCCCCCCCCCCTTGGGTGCGCCACTGAGTGGGGATGATCCTATGGCCCATCCCCGCTGGTAAAAATGGGTATGGGGTATGGGTAAACGTATAAACACTGCCTTGTGGGGTACTGTAACAATGGGAGGTACCCCACAAGGAATGCCCACCGACTTGCGAGGTACCGTTTTGGTACCTCACAAGTTTTTCACAAAATAGATATATGGATTTTACTCAAAAACTAGGAATTTCCAAGGTGGGTTGATCCGTCGCAAATGGAAGAGTTTTAGAAAAGGGAAATTAAGTCCGAATTTCAGCCCAGGAAATTAATTCTGGTTAAAATAAGAGCATTTTGAAATTAGTGTGCGACATTGCAAAATTTTAGTACACGAGAACAAAGGAAGTACCCTACTTATATGCCTGTGTATGAGTGCGTGAATCGTGGACGTAGGACAAAAGAATTGGGGCACAAACAATACGTCCACGATTGACCGAACGTCCACGATCTCAAATCGTGTACAACTTGAACCAATGAGAGCTGTTACTAAAAAGTACAAACAAAGGAAAGAGGATTAGGGACAATGGGGCGTCCACGATTTCCGGTGTTTACATGGGTGTGTGTGTGAGTGCTCTTGTATTGTATTACGCTCGAGGACAACAACAAAAGGAGCACAGAGGGGCCTTTGATCCTCGGACGACGGTGCCTATTGTTAAAACCGGTCCTCGATCGTACGGTTATGTGCTTAGTCTATGGGAAAGTGTTATATTAGAGGGACAAAGGGAAACACAATAGGTTGTCCTCAGGCGTATAGTAAAACACGACGGTGTGTGCGTGTGTGCGTATATCCCCATCATCCCCGTATTTACGCCATGTGGACCTCGTGAGTTGACAGTGATCATGTGCCCTGATTCGTCTATAGAAGTAAAACAACGATTTACTGACTCAGTAACTGGGCCCTATCCTCCTCTTTTGTTCAAGGTCCACGATTTGAATGTGTATAATTTATACATGACTTGTACACATTCGACATGAAAATGAGGACCCTCAAGTCCCACCACCAAAATGGACCGTAGTTGTGCTACACCCCTTTCCCTACAAATGGGGTGGGTGACAATGCTCCGTATTGCCGGAAGCCCACTCCAAAGGCATGACCCCAACTAACCGTATTATGAACATGTTGTTTATTTCTTAACGGAGAAAGATGTCATAGAGACCAAGCTGATGTATTATTTTATGACTGGAATTTGCTGTACTAATGGTTATGAGTGATGAGTGAGATGTGTAGGCCAAGGCCAATTAGAGTTATTAACGAGCCATAGAGCTGTATAATACAGCTCTATGCAACGAATAGACCTGTTTACGAGCGTGTTTACTGATTCGATAGTGAACGAACAACAAAATAAGGCGCTGATGGAGTGATGATTGTTTAGGCTTGAGCAATATTGTTGACGCGTCTAATTTATGTTGTCAACGCTTTGGAACGAATGATTTTGAAGATAATATGCCCGTCACGGCTTATTTGTGGATCGGTTCGAGGACTCTTACACACTTCGCCATATCGAAAAGCGCGAGATACTCCTCACTATATAAATTTCAGTGCTTGGGTTTTCGATCGAGTGTGGAGATTTGGATGTGACAGAGATTGTTCGTGTCGGTCGTGTTAAGCAATCGTTCGAGAAATTGGAGTTGCCAGCTGCTGAGATAGTTAAAGTTCCTCGACGATTCATCAAGCTCTGACCATTCGTGGTTGTTTAATAACACATGTGATTTTTAAAATCCTGCTGGTCTGAAATGAAAACGGCTAGACTTTGTTAAAAGTTCGACGTGTAACTATTGTATAATTCATTGAGGAAAGAGTTTCTTTTGGCTCCAGCATTTCCATAAACTGACTTATGGCTCTGTCGGACACTATTTTGTTCGATGAGGAGGAAGAGGAGGGAGAGGAGGGAGAGGAGAATGAGGAAGCAACCGGTGGTTCGGGATCTAAGGACAATTTCACCGACACGCAGGTAACACTTCTGATCACTTTGATTTTGCTGGCTGGCTTGTTGATGCTTTTGGGATACCTCTGGGTGATCGTGACAGTGGCTCGCACTCGGAGACTCCACACCGCTTCGGACTCCTACCTGGCAAGCTTGGCGGTGGCCGAGATTGTACTAGCGGTGTGTGGTTTACCTGCAATATTCATCCTCAGCGGCAGTTCCGGGTTCAGCTTTGCCTCGGTTCTCTTCTTGTCCTGGGGTATCCTCTTTTCTGTCCTGGGGTATTTCTTGAATGCCGTCCTGATAGCCACCGACAAATGGCTCAGGATTTCCCGCCCTTTCGTGTACGTGCGGGAAATGACGCGGGCGAAGTGTGCCGTCTGCCTGTCCGTAGTTTGGGGGTTGTCCGCGGCAGGGAGTCTGGCTGGGGCCGTTACTCACGCATCATGCTTGATGGGGGACTTTTCCAAAGACCGCGTGTTTTCATCCTTCTCTCTTCTGGCGATCATCTTCTCCTATGCCATCATCTTGCCCTGCGTCACAACCATCACTGTATTCAACATCCTAATCGTGCGCATCGCCAGGCACCAAGCTCGCGCCATTGCGGCTGATCTACCAGCCGCTCCCCGCCAGATAATGGAGGGACCACCTGGTGAACATCGGATGCAACCCCCCGGCAACCAGCCTCATCCCCCCGGTGCCGTTCATCGCAAAAGCACCAGGCAATTCTCCATCTTCTTCTTGTCCTTCGTCCTAGCTTGGACTCCGGTGGTGGTCACCTTACCCATCGTGCACTACACCGAAGCAACCGATGATAATATGCCCGTTGTGGTTGTCCTTCTGATCGCGTCAATGTTCGTTCTTTGCCAGGCCGCGTTTGGGACTCTGATCCTGACGGTGCTGCAGAGAGAATACAGAGAGATACTGAAGGGGGACTTGAGAGGAATCGGAGAGAAACTTCACTGCATCAGAAGACGCTAACTGGAAGATATTTAGCAGTTGAAACCTCGTGAAACTGAATACCTCATATAAGGAGAGTGTAGGCAGAGACAGTGTAACTGGTAAATAAATAAGCTGCAACATTGTGTTCCTTAAATTCGCGACCATTTCTCAATGGACATTTTTGCATAGACACCAAAATTGCGTCTACCGTACATAAACAAATTACATGCCAAACAGACAGTTGCCAAAAATATCTTGCATCAGTCGATTGTTTGACTTCAGCTTGACTGGCTTTGATATGTACTCGACATCCACATCAGGTTTAACGAAAACAACATTTCGCTTGTCGAAATTAAGAGTTATCAAATTTAAGCTGTTATCGTTTTGGCTGTCGGCCTTTATGTGCACTTTGATATACGTGTACTGTTAGTGAAGAATAACACTTGTAGTGTGCTTATACAGGGTGAGTCAAAGAAAGCGGAACCCAAACGCCAAAAATTATATTTCATAATAAAAAAAAAAGTAGCACCAAAAATAGTAATGACTGAAAAGCCATTTTCATAAGCTACTTTTAGATAAAAAAAATTACTGGAAATTGCTCAATCCGTTCAAAGAATATCACCATTTAAACAAAATGACCCTGAAACCTCTTTCGTCAAAAAAATGTGATTTCAAGAATCGTCGTCACAATTGTCTTCGAACATCACCAGCTTTAAAACCTCAGTATAAAAGTTAAAAATATTTAATAAAGTCCTTTTGAAGGCCCATTTATTTTTTACGTGGATTTTATAAATCATAATGTTCGCCTTACCAGGGTTGTCAATAAAGATATTGTGTAAGTACAGTTGTTGACAGTTGTTGAAACAAGTATTCTGTGTCATTTTCTTTGTTGTTTCAAACAGTCAGAATAGTGAGAATACAGAATATATTGCGGGTTTTTTTTTTTGAACGAAACCGGTTTTATGGTCATTGAGTTTAAAAGGTGATATTCTTTGAAAGGATTGAGCAATTTCAGTATTTTTTTCAACTAAAGGTAGCTTATGAAATTGGCTTTTCAGTCATTATTCTTTTTGATGCTGCATATTTTTTTAATTTGAAATATGTTTTGGGGGTTTGGGTTCCGCTTTTTTGACTCGCCCTTTAAGAAGACGTAGGCCTATCCAGCATGTGTTTAGAGGGCTTTTGAAGTATTTATATCTGTACTCCGTGCACAGTAATGACTCTAGCGCATTGTTCGTGATATCACTAAGTGAGATGTATTTTAAAACGTAAAAAAGACAGGAGTTATCAGTTTTGTATATAAGTAGTCGTCCGTAAAACTTCAGCCTTTATTGTCAGTGATGCACATTATCTTTGACTAGTCCGATCATATTCGTGTGTGGCATTTCGGATATAAATGTTATAGCTTGCTAGCTGTTTTAAAACTAAAATTTTAAACACGATGAAATCCGGGATTTTACTTTCCCAAAGGACCAATTAGTTATTTCGGTTGTGTAATATATGAACCTAGCAACCAGTTGTGTAAAAAAAAAATGAACAAGTTGTGTAATATTTTACACAAGTTGTGTAAACAACAGTTTACACAACAGGTTGCTAGGTTTATATAGTACACAACCGTTTGGTTTTTACACAACCGAAATAACAGTGATATAATAGGAAACGTTTTGTTTTAATTCGTAAAGTTTTGATGCTTGATATTGAAGATGGTATTTTGAGGTTTCAAAATGTCTCCAGAGTTATGTTATCAAGTTTAACTTAGAAACACAAATCTAAATGGTTAAAAAATGTACTACACTTTACGAACTTTTCACCAAAAAGAAATATGTCATATACGTGAATGCACATCAGAGGAACGTATATTTGGGGGGAAAATGGTCCAGTGTTAAATTCAAGTGTATATTTTACCAAGAAAATTATGCCCTGTCAAACATGGAAAGGCTAATAATGTCCATGCATTAATGTGAATTCTGCAGTGTTTGCATCATCTTTCTCGCATTAGCACTTTTTCATTAGTCTTTTCAATTCGTGCCATCCATCAGCTATCAGCCATTAATTTTAATATTGTTTAGAGCCTGAGCAGGTTTCCTTCCGTTCTTTTCTTGTTCGGTGCCAGGTGGAGCTCTGTTTTGAAGCTTTCAATTTGCTTCTTTTTTTTTCTCAGTGATGTCAAACTTGCAACTAATTTATATTTCAGTGTTGTATTTTTTTTATATGTGCAGTGAATAGTCGTTTTTTTTCTTTATAAATTCTTTCAAAAGTATAGACCGTACATGGTAATAAAATTGTGACGCTGTAAAACGAGGCTTTTTTGGGCGAAATGGTGAAAGCACTGTGCTAGCTACTTTTCTCTATTGCTTTTCTCCATTGAAGGGGGCCTCGCAGTGCCGTAAATCTGTGCCAGCAAGTGTGCGCGTTTTTATGGTGTAAATCGAGGACACACACGTGCAAGCTTGGGGAGTCAGGTTGGCGTAGCGGTACTTTTCCCCCCGTAAATACCAAACTCTCGTTTCATGTTAAATTTGATGGGAGAGAAGGGGGACAAGGAGGGGCAGGGGGCATACAAGCGGCACTGGCCTGGAGCCGAACATCTCTGTCCTGCTTTGTTACGTCGCCGATATGGGGCTACCGCATAGGGTGTACAATTATTTGGGTACACTTAATGAAATGGATGGAATCAGCAATAACATTCGGCACAAATTGTGGAATCAATGATTTTTTTTAACAAAAGTGTGTGGGTGGGGGCGCTTCAAACGTCAACCCTTCCTTTGTGTAAGGCACCCAAGAAACGACCATATACAAAACCCTTAGCCGAGTTACAAAACAAGAAATTAAACAAGATGTCGGACTTCATAAAATCACAAGAGCATGTACTAAAATTATGATGTGTAGTCACTAGAGGGCGTTCTAAAGCGTCATCTATCAGAGTAGTCAATAAAGAGTTGCGACATGGAGTTCTGAAACCTGAAGACAAAATGGCCCCTGGACACACTGAAAAGCCCAGGGTGTCCAAATATGACTTTCCACCCATCCTGATCCACATTTCTGACAAAGATTCCCAGAAAACACTTTACTGGCTAATGTCCCCATGTGTAACTCTCACAATCAGTGATATCACTGGCATACTTTTGCCACTAACTTTAAAAGAAGTCGCAATGGAAATGCTATCCAAACAGCTGGGACAGAAAGTGATGCAACACTTGGTTTACAAAGTTGTTCAATCTCGTGCGAGAATAGTAGAGGCAAGGAAACGACAAACACACACACACAAATACACACGTGAAAAAAAACCTCTAAGGTCGGTTTTATGTACACACTCTGGAAAACATTCCAAGTTTAATCAGACGAAAAATACAATCTGATTCAATCAACATCAGACCCAACATATGCAGAATATGTTGCAAACAGTTATCGGTTTATTTTTTGCTACTTTTCCTCAATACATGAGGAAATAGTGAAATGATGCTGACAGCTGCATGAACATTCATTTAAACAAGGTTTAGCTCTGGATCCAAACAAAAAATGCTTTATAAATCCTGTATTTTACACCTCCAAAACGAATAATTAGATTGAAAAGCGCAAGTTTTCTTTTCGAAGCAAGGCAAAGTAGCCTCAAGGAAAGACATAGTTGCCTTGAACACGCAGCATGTCGTAAATTTGTTCTCACTATTTTTCAAATATTTGATTTTTTTAAATGGTTGTTTGCAATCAGAAATAATGTTTAATCATGGACTATTTCAGGACAGTCAATTTCAATATTCAAATGAAAATATTATAATTAAAATGAAAATATCTACAAAAGGCAATGAGTTGTCTCCTGTTGTACTACAGATCATAAATTAAAAGTAAATAAATTACAGCCAATCATTACTTATAATCTTCATGGTAACATATAGATTTAACCTGTTAAATTGGATGGATTTGGTACAGCTTGTAGAAAAAAAATCCACTTTTTTTCCCTATAATACCTACCCAGATCTGCCAGATCCACAAGTAGGTTTTGAAAGATTTTGTGGGATTTAGGAAGGTAGAATTCAGCCATTACTGCATTAAATTGGGGCTTGATATCCTTAACAACTGAAGTACACAGAATGTGAAATTGGTTTCCTTTGCAATGGTGGGTTTTGGAGGATACAGGAAAGTTTCTAACAAAATGAAAAGGGAGTTATGGTTAATGGACAATGCGTAATACTTTGGGGTAATTTTTGTTGTCCTCGTGGTGGAGCTGTTTCAGCCAAAAGCAAATTAGACGAAAAACTATTACTGACCATAGTTTGACAGTCTTTACTCAAACTCACACTAGTTGACCACAGACAATTCGGAACCAACCTATCGAAGTTGGATGCATCAGCGGTTGCAATAGTCATGTGCATAATAATGCACTTCAGGGTACCAGGTTCCAACGAGTTTCTCGATGACATTTTGGACATCGTTTGACTAGACAATTTTGCACGTTGCCATTTAGTGCACAGGCACAAGTTACATCACGATTGAACCACTAGTTGACTTGACCCTAACTTCCTAGCATCTTTTACTAGGAACTGGACCAATTCCATCATAAATCTATCAATCACTGTGTGTCTAATACAAAACTGTACATGACATAATGGAATCCACCACTGACACACTGGTTGACATTCATGGACTTGCTACACATGGCGCTTATCACAATAGCAGTACAGGAAGCTAGGCAAAATCAATCAGATGCCCCTAGTACTGCTTCAGGCCATTAGGCCCAAGTCCATCATACTCCATCAATATTTAGTCACGCCAGGCCTTCTGGACCAAGTCCCTCAAAATCCAACAGAATGGGGGAATGGATTTTGATGGAGTTGGGGTGGTTCGGGTTAATATGGTCCTCATTCCAACTTTAATACTAAAGGATCTATTCCAACAGGAACAGGAAAAGAACTTCAGCCCACGAATTATCCTGGAGTTACCCCTATAAGGGACAGCCCACTTACCAAAGTACGGCAAGCCAGGAGATTAAAGGGAATGTACACCATTGGCTTTTGCTGTAATTTTCAGAAATGAACTATTTGAGGGGTAAGTATTATAGATCAAATATTGTTACACTGACATGTTTGAAGTTTTGTGTTCGAAAATGCTTGAAATCCAAGAAAAACAAAAGCGTGCAAGTAGTCTGGTTCCCCGACTCCACCAACGATAAAATTGTAGTGTAAGGGAACCAGTCTAGCTGACCTGCACCCGTTCATGAACATGTAACCAATAGCTAAAAAAATTTGGACTGAATAAAATGGTAAATTTGGAGCAGTAGTTTAAATAGTTGGATTTTTTCAACGGTGGTCAGCTGACCACCGTTGGAAATTTATACAAAAATATTATTTTCTTGAAAATGACTTCACACCAGGTGCCATAATTTTACAGGCTGATTTAGACTGTCATTTACCAACATCCTAGTAAGGTATTTCGAAAATCTTGGTGGTTTTATTTTTCGATGTTCGCAAATGTTGTATATATTCCCTTTAAAGAAGACATCAATAAAAACGGCACAGCACCACATTGATTAGTCCTTGCTCACACACACACTCTACGATAATATCGCAAACCCTCTGTTGCTTAATAACAACTACATACTACATTCTGGGGATACAAAACGTGTCTCTTAAAGGTAGAGTCCATCATTTGCAGCCATCCGAAAAGTAACTGGCGTAATTATTGTTGAAAAACTAACTTGGTTGAAAGATAGTAAGGGGACTAAACTCCCTGTGAAATTATTCTTTCTGGCAAGCTGTCATTTTGAAGTAATCAACGAAAGAAGGCATTTCCAACAGTGATTCTTAAGAAGCACCGTAGGAAAATTTAAATTAGTAGTTCGTTTTTTTATTCAGCGAAGCGCGCACAAGTATTCGAACGACACACACGCGTGCGCGATTGTTATAATTCGTCGAATCAGTGCGCGACGTCGCGTATAGTTGCAATTCAAAACAATTCAAAACATGATTCAGCAACTTTTGATTTGAAATTGAGATCCTAGAATGCTGTTTTTCTCGGAATGTACAGCTGAAGCTTAGCTGAAACTTCATCAGGTTAGTTGCTCAGTATCCTTCATTAGATTTTGAACTCTTTTGTTGCTTCAAACGAACAAAATGCACAAATTACAAATGATGGACTGTAGCTTTAATCGGTCCATCTTACAATGCCGAATGGGAGAGGACCCGCGACGAAACCTCAGCCGTACGTAGAATATGCCAAAAGCGCTCCCAGGCAAACCAGAAATATCAGGAAGCGGTTCCTGGTTGTCACGTAGTCCTCGGACACCACGCATTTCGCGATGTCGGCGGTGAGGCAGGAGATCTCATGAGCGATGAAGATGAAGATGAACGTTGAGACGAGGAGGTTGAGGCTTGGGTGACCGGGAATGAGGACCAGGATTCCCTTGGTGTCTTGAGCCAGCCAGATGTGATACTGGCTGATGAATAGCTGCGAGGACAAAGTGGGAAATACATCCTTTTTGTCAACAATTTTTTTAAGTCAGTATTTTTAAAGGCAGATAGGATCATTTGCTTTCCATCATTTTGTTTGTTACAAATAACATCTCTCAAAATCCAAAGAAGAAAGTTCAAAACCCAACCTGTTGAAGTTTAACTCAGTGGTCATTACACTTTTGAGAAAATAGTGAAAAACCATACACAACCTTTGATCACAAAACACTATCTGGCCATAACACTCTTTTATTTCTGACAATCAGTCAATTGAATGATTGTTGGTAATCACCTAAATTTCTTGATTTCTTCTAAAAGACAGCAAGCTACAAGGAATAATTTGACGGGGTGATTGGTATTTGCACCATCTTAAATCCAAGTAAGCTTATTGATAATTTGGTACGGTTAGGGTTGGGGTTAGTGTTAGGATAAATGCATATGATCCTATATGCCTTTAAATGAGCTCATGTAAAGTCCTAAAAGCCTATCACAAGTCATCCAAACTCAAATCAAATGACCAACTATTTTAAATTAAATGCACCAGACATTACTTGTCACTGTTCTTCTTGTAATACTTGTGACCCAAGTAGTGTTTTGTTCCCAACTTGTGATTGTCTCGTCATAGATAAGACTTGAAGTCTAATTTTTCGTTGACTTCTGCTACGCATTTGAAAGAAATGTGCAGGCTTATATCCACCATGTTTTATTTAATATCTTTGGACCTTTCATAATTGCATATGCATTTTCTTGGCTAATGTTAATTTAACAAAAATCCTATTAGAGTTGTCTTTTTCATTTCCTTATCTTAAACATATACTCAGAGAAAATTCCAAATTGTAAAAGATTTCATATGAGAATCCCACCTACAACTTGCTGCCAGTTTTAAAATTTAAGGTTTTGAATTGAAAACTGCGTTTTGTTCTCAGGGATCATAACTGATCCCTTCTCATGTCGCCCACATGTGCTTTCAAACTCAATTTTGAAATCTCACGTATACTTCTTAATAAATGCTTTCACAAAGCTTTAAAATTCAAATGGCTTAATATCCTACTTACCTCCAGGGATATTGTGCCAAACCAGGCGAAGAACGTGCTGTAGCGTGTCCGTAGGGAGCCACTGCTGTTCCTGAGAATAATCACACCAGTTATCTGCCGAGGGAAGAGACAATGGTAACAGTGTTTTAAGTCATAAAGGATTATTTGCATTTATCCAAAAGTAAGCAAGCGAATCATTATCAAGAATTGGATTAAAGATCGTACAGGTACTAATTACTAAACACACCATGAAATTAGTCCGTCTGGCTTGCTGTCATATAGAAGAAATCAAGAAATGTAGGTGATTTCCAAAATCTTTGGAAGTACAAGGTGCTAGGGATGAAATCGTGTTTCATGATCAACGGGTTGTGCATGGGTTTTCACTGTTTTTCTCAAAAAGTGTAATGATTAAATGATATCAAATTAGGTTTTGCCCTTCACCGACGTATAAACACTGTATACTCAGTGTGTTACCTCCAGAGTGAAAGTTGGAGAAAAAAAATCACTCGGGTGGGACTCGAACCCACGACCTCCTGCTTTCTAGTGCAGATGTCTTATCACTCGGTCGGCTGGTTCGAATTAGATGTCCTAGCACCGTTAGCTCGGTGGTCGAGTGGTAAGACATCTGCACTAGAAAGCAGGAGGTCATGGGTTCGAGTCCCATCCAAGTGATTTTTTTCCAACTTTCACTCGGGAGGCAACACATACAGTGTTTATACGTCGGTGAAGGGCAAAACCTAATTTGATTTACATCACCCCAGTGCAAATTCCATCTTATGAATAGATTAAATGATATGTATACATTTGAGTCAACATTCGTCTTCAGGTAAAACATTTTTTTTTAAGAGTCAAAGTAAAACCGAACCCTTGCCGAGACCTTTTCAGGTCCAAAAATCAAATCCTCGTTTACTTTTTCGACTTGAATAAAATCTGCAATTAAATAGGCCTTTCTGAGTGGCATCAGAAAAGGCTCCAACTACCAGAATGAGTCTTACCGGCAATGCACTGATGTAGGTATGCACCTCATTGCAATCTGGCTTGCTGCTACACATGAAGGAATGGACAGTGTATATCTAGCAAATAAACAAAATTGGAATGGGGACATATTAAAACTTTGTTGGAGGTTCCCGATTGTTGTCGAACTATACATACTTTGTGCATAAGTACCCCCTCAACGGTTACAAAGAGAAAGTTGGGAGGACCACTAGGAGAAACTCTTGAACTGATTGCTCGCATTCACGTGGAGATGCTACAGGTTAGTTTAGATGCTACAATCGGCATCTTGCCAAAAGGAAAAACAGCTAATTTAACAAAATGATGTATTTTTCAGCGAATGGGGTTGCTATAAGAAAGCCATTCCATGTTATACAAATACTACAAAAAAAACTGAAGCAATATTGTAATTTAAAATGTAGATTATAAAGAAATTAAGATTGTAAAAATGTAATGTTTGAGATGTAGCAATATGTAAACTTACGTCCGTAACCTTGGATTCATGGCTATTTATACCCCAACAGGCAAGGATGCTGCGCCCTAATTTGCTCAAGAGCAAGGCCTTATGCAGAGCTGTTCAAACTTCATACTTACTGCAATAAATAGAACTCCGATGATGTGACTGACGACAGTCCAAGCTGTGGAGAATAGATTCTCTGAGTGGCTGTCATTCAGCCTTTTTGTTACCCTGAGATGAATGTAGCCCATAGCAAACAGCATGCCATACACTATAATCTGAAAAGACAACATAAAAAAGGGTTTATTAGACTGCTGAGCAACATCTATATTTGTTATATCGTTTGCTTAGATACTGTAATTTCATTGGTCTAGGACGGCCACGTGTCTGGACAATAAAAATGATTTAATTTATGGCTCTGGACAATAAAAATGGTTACATCCATTTATCTTTTTGAGTTATCGGCATGAGTTATCGGGCGCATGCGCCCCTCGAGTGTTAAAAACGTCATTCCTACATCACAGCAGACAACACTTTCTTGTTAACCACTAAAAGATTAAATTGTAGAGTCGACGGATGTTAAAAATACTGACAACACATACCCAATTTTTTCTTTGTAATGCGCATTGAGATATAAAAAATATGAAATTGAAGAATTTTAGAATTGATGCAATACTTACATATCTGTCTAACCGCCAACGAAACCACCACTCATGAAGATTTTGGCCAGGCCAGTAAAACAATGTGTTTATGGGCCACCAATTGAATAAAGAATTGAAGAAAATCTGAAATGTGACAACACAACAGAGGTTAAGACCCACACACATTGGTAAAGAATAATGAAAAGGATACGATTTCAAGAAGGTAATTAAGCAAGAAATGCAAGACACTATGAATTTTTTTTTCCAATTCCACGATGATAAGAAAATGCATCAAACTAGGGTTACTAATTGTGTTTCATGATCAAAAGGTTGTGCATGTTTTCACTTTCCAAGTGTAATATCAACTCAGCTTAAAATTCAACATGTTAGGTTTGCACATTTTAGTTTGGATTTTGAGTGGTGTTAAAGGGGAGATACAACATTTGCAAACATCACAAAACGAAATGATCAAATTATCACAAAATACCTTACTGGATTGTTAGGGAATGACAGTCTAAAGCATCTTGTAAAATCGTGGCTCCTGGTGTTCTGACATTTTCAAGAAAAATTGTATTTTTCCAACGCTGGTCGGCCGACCAGCGTTGGAGAAAATTTGCTTTTTTTCAAAAACTGCTCCTATTTTTTCATTATTAGTTATTCCGTGTTTTCTTTGCAATTGATTACACAACTGTGAAGGGGTACAAGCCTGCTAGACTGATTCTCTGACCTTACAATTCCCCAAAGTCTATAAAGTCTCCGTTTCATCTTAAGTGGGGTCAGGGAATCAGACTACAAGAACATGATTGGTTTTCTTGGTTATTCCAGCATCTACAAGCCCAAAACGTAAAACAAGTCATTTTAACAATATTTGCTTTAACATACTAATCCTCCAAATCCATTTATTTCTGAAAATTGCAGCAAAAGCTAATGTTGTACATTCCCTTTAAAAATCCTATATGCCTCTAAGGTAAAAAATCAAAAGCTGTTTTTATTTGTTTTGCAGATTTGACTCACTTCTGACATTGATACCGTGACACATATGACGATGAATACGCCGATCTTCAGCAGCATGTAAACAGTATGGGATGGCAGGGCTGCAATAAAGCACAACGTCAACGTTAGAATTCTTATCCAAGTGTTTGGGTTTGCAATCACCAGTCAATCACGTGTCAGGTCACACGTGGCAGGCGATGGACAATGCAAACAGTTCATTGGAGGAGCCTGTCACTTAAATTTGTGACCCGTTTAATTGTGATCGTTAGTAATAGACCGATAAATAGGCCCCGCCCACTGAGCGCGTGAGCAATTAACACATGCATCTCCCCGATGCCACACTGCATGTACCAGCTGTGCACGTCATACGTGCGCGCACGCATTTCGGACATTTCGTCATCGGCACCACGAACTGACACTCACGCGCAAGTGGGTGACAGTTCGTGAAAACCACGTAATCAACCATTCCGGTTGACGAACTGACACCCGGTAGTGCGCGCGCACATCGGACACTGACGCAAAATAGGAAGATTTTCGTTTCAGGAACTGACACCCAAGCATGATGCAGCAATACAGAACTGAGAAAAACAGTTCGAAAGGTTTGACATGAATTTAATCCATCCGTATACTTGTGTGATTACACAAAAATTTGATTAATAACCATTTCAATTGGTGAAATTAAGGTCAGTGTCAGAAACCGAAAATGTACGGGGTGCACTCTAAAAGTGCCGCACTGTGCACGATGTCAGTTTGTGAAACCCAAAATGTCCTGGTTCTGTAAAATACGTGCTCGTGCGGCGCTCTCACGCCCAACTGAGAGTCAGTACATGGTGCCGATGGTGATTTGTGCACACGTCAGACATAAATCACGGCTGTGATTGGTCAAAAGATCATTAGGCCAGGCTTATTGGATCGATCTTTTGACTCACGATGACTTGATTATAAAACTCTGGGAGTAATTTCACCTGCTAAGCACAAAAAAAAATGTGTTTAACATTTTGCTGAGCAAAACAGGTTACCAGCCAAAAGACCATATGATGAACATTGCTCATGCTGGTTCCCAGCACCATTTCTTTACTTGCTCAATAGCTCCATGACATTTGCTACCATGTTCTAATAACTCAATCACATTTTTTTTCAGACTGGCATTCCAGAGTTATACCAAACCAAATTATTCTGAAAATTTTGATTTAAGTTCATGAAAAGTTCGACGCTCAAATTTTTTTAGGAATGACTATATCAAAAGATGATGACAAGTGTGGCCATTTAAAGCAATTCCAGAGTCCAGTCGAGTCAAACTACTGAAAACTTGATACTTAAAGTTCCCTTGTCTGGGACCAAAACCATTCTGTGAGTCACTACTAATAAACTTTCTTTACGAGTCGGTCATATTAAATTGAAAGCGAGGTAAAGTCTTCATTTCCTCATTAACAAGGTCTATACTATTTGGTTCTGCACGACTCTTAAGTACCAGTTTGAAATTGGTGTCAGTGACAACATTTATGTGGATGTTTCTCCAGTGCTGCAGTTGAATCCATCACAAGTCCCTTAAGAGGCTGTGTCCGAATGATTGGCTACGGCTTGAAATTACACACGAGTCTATGGCAACGGCTGCAGCCAATTCCCATAGACTCATGTTTAAGTTTAAGTCGTAGCCATTAATTTGGACACAACCTAACAAGTCCTTTCACAAGATCAGTCACAAGCAACACTGGAAGAAACATGACAAAAGGACTGCATTTTGTCGCTGTTCATTTTGAAGTCCTGGTGGGGTCATGGTGTGTGTGCCCTTGGGCAAGGCACTTTGTCACTCATTGCTTCTCTCCACCCAGGAGTAAATGGGTACCTGTAAGGGCAGAGATGGTTATTGTGATTGAATTAGCTTCCTTGCGCCTAACAGGCTGCATCGAGCTGTATACTCCCCAGGGAGCTGAGATGGTATTTGGAATGTTTCATGTGCCCAATAAGCAGGGGTAATAATGATGTAGCACCTTGAGCACCAGTCCTGGTGGATACGTGCGCTTAATAAATACCCACTATTATTATTACTATTATTAACAGCTCTTGACTGGACTTGTGACTGGAGGGCTTGGACTCAACTATAGCACTGATGTTTCACCAGTGACTAACCTTTCGCTGATTCCCTGGTGACTAGCGGAGGGAACGCCATTGTCGCATAGATGAGTAGATACCAGAAGGATACAAGCGGGACAAAGTAGTAAAACTGATACGGTCTGTCCATGACTAAACACAGCAGGACGACCAACAGATTCTGCCTGAACAAAACCTGAAAAAGCAACAACACAAAAAGGAGATACAAACAGAGTTGTCAACAAGTAGGTTGATTGTGAGTTGGTCATTTGCAGGTCAAACCACTTACACGTCAAATCACGAGCCAGGTCACAAGTGACAAGTGATAAACAAGACAACGAGATTTCCTTGTCACAGTTCATTTGGATAGCATGTCACTTGATTAAAGACTAAGTGACTTGTGATTGACTTTTTGATTAACTAGCGAGGGCTTGTCAGGACTTGATTACAACTGCAAAATAAATTTAATTAAAGGAGTTCAAAACATTTTCTGAACTTTGTTTAAGTATAGAGCTCCTCATAATTTGTAATACTACAAATGTAGTATAAGCGCTAATTCAACTAAAATGAATTCAATTACCCCCCTCCCTCTTTAATGCGGAGATGTACCCTCACGGTATCTGTCAAAATCTATCAAGTGATAGGTTGAACAGTTTTGTAAATTGGGCTGATATTGGTAGAATTCACAGGCTGTAGGTAAACTGAAGGTACCATGCCTTAACTGACATGTATAGATATGATGGGTTAAAGTACTGCTGAGTGCCTGGCAATGAATAAAGGCACAACAGGTGCACTCATGCATATCGCAGCAAAACAAAGGCATTGCCCTCCTCTATTAGAGGGCAATGGCTGCTATGTATAATGTCTATAGAATTGCAGTAAAAGTTGTAGCAGTACTCAAGGACACCCTATGTATCAAACCCCTTTAACAGATACTGACAGTTAGGCCACACAAAAAAAACAAGTCTTCGGTTTTTGGTATGGAGCTTGCCCCAAAAGTGGTGCGGCGACGCGGCTTTTTTGTTTGTTTTTAACTCTTTTTTTTCTTCAAATGTCGGCTGATGACTGCAAATGGTGCCCGACTAAATTTAGTGCAAAATATATGGGAGCCCAGAGAGGCCACATAAAGTTTATATTCGATCGTAACCCCATAAACACGTTAAAATTGTGCAGCAGCAGGATTCCAGTCAAACCAGTGAGTTTGGCGATTTTGAGACATCATCTTACATAGAATTTTTTTTTTTAAAATTTTGCCGACGCGCATGGCTACGGCGACACTCGCGCAGACCAGAAACCGGAGCCTTTTTCTTTGGCCTTATGTGGTTTAATAAATACGGGTTCTGGCAGTTGGTGACCTGCCTGTACAAAAGCTATGGGAGAGGAAGTGGATAGATTTTTTTACGGTTTGTGACAGTTTTACCAGTAGACGGGTTAAAGTTGAATTCAATATTACGTTTATTTATATGCTTGATACAACAAAATATGTATATGAAAATACAAAAAAAATCAGCTCTGGTGACTGGTGATTAGTTTTGTTGGGCTGGGTCACAATTTTTGGACAGCTTACCTGACATACTCTAACCAGGCCAAACTTTTGCCTGTCCCAACTGGCAGTGAATTGACCGTAAGCAGTCATAAACAGATAACTGGCCACCAGAATTCTGATGTGCATGTAGATTGGAATTTTCTGGAAATAAAAACATGAGATAATTAAAAAAAATGTTAAAATAAATTCTTGGGAATAAAAATATATAAAGGTTACGGAATCAATTGACCCTAGACATTCATGGATCCTACAAAAGCCTTCAAAATCCACTTGGAGGTTTGGGTGGAAAGATGAAGAATTTATAAAGGTAGAGCCCAGCCACTCATACTTTATATGGGACCTGATGCATCTTGAAACTTGGTAGGTACAAAGAGTGTACCATTGGGTTCCTGCAAAGTGTAGGATTTGGTAGGATTAAAGGAAGGTAGAGCCCAGCCACTGTTACTTTACATGGGGATTGATGTACCTTGAAACTTGGTAGGTACAAAGAGTGTACCATTGGGTTCCTGCACAATGTAGGATTTGGTAGGATTAAAGGAAGGTAGAGCCCAGCCACTGTTACTTTACATGGGGATTGATGTACCTTGAAACTTGGTAGGTACAAAGAGTGTGCCATTGGGTTCCTGCACAATGTAGGATTTGGTAGGATTAAGGAAGGTAGAGCCCAGCCACTGTTACTTTACATGGGAATTGATGTACCTTGAAACTTGGTAGGTACAAAGAGTGTACCATTGGGTTCCTGCAAAGTGTAGGATTTTGTAGGATTAAAGGAAGGTAGAGCCCAGCCACTGTTACTTTACATGGGGATTGATGTACCTTGAAACTTGGTAGGTACAAAGAGTGTACCATTGGGTTCCTGCACAATGTAGGATTTTGTAGGTTAGAAGAAGGAGTCCAGTTTTTCACATGGGCTTGATGACCCTTGAAACTTGGTGGGTGGAAAAAGTGTGCCATTAGTTTTCTGCACAATGGTGCATTTTGGAAGTATTTTGAGGATTCAGGGAGGAAACTAGGGTTCGTGAATTATGTACTCATGAATTATTAAGAATGAAAATGCTAAATTTTCTCAGGCAGGTAGTTCGCTATTCATAATCACTCCTGGGTACGACTGCATTAAGGAGTGCATCAGAATTATACAATCATAGATGTCAGATGTAACAGGGACAGGAAAAAACATGGACCCAAATTTATGGAAATGACCTAAATACGAAACAAATCACCATGACATTCACTCTCCTCACTGAACCAATCAGAATCTACGAAACAGACATGTGACCAAGATGTCTTATTTCACTGGTTGTTTTTTACCTTGCTAGCTCCTGTGATGTGGTATATTAGTATGACTAGCTGCATCCAGCCTTTCCATTCTGTGGTCTGTGGGACACTCAGAACAACCGGCTAAAAAAAGGGAATAAAATAGCACATTCGTGAAACAACGGTGGGTACAGAATAGGAAAACTATTGAAATGCATCTTTACGAGCACCAACATATTAAAGAGGTTGTGGAATGCTCGAAGACATTTCCGTCATTTTTCGGGTATATGTAGCCTAAGGTGTGATGAAATAAAAACGACTATTGTGTCTGTCATGAAATGAGTACAAAAGGTACTTTGAGAGCTATTTTTCAGGTCCTGTTTTGACCCGAACGTGCAATTTGTGTAAAAGTCGTCGTTGGGGGCAGCAAACAAAAAATACTAAATCGTGACGTAATAAACAGGACTCCCGATGCAGCGTAGTATAAACGAGTCCTGTTTATTGCGTCACGATTTTTCTCATTTTACGAAGAACCCGACGATTGTTATTTCAATTATGCGCTCGCCGACCAACAAATTACTCGATGAATTTCAGTTTTATAAACATATAAATGCACATTACAAAAGAATGGGACTTTGTCATTATGATATATATGGGTCTACTCTGCAATAAAAAAATATAAAAAACAAAACGACTTTCAGCATTCCACAACCTCTTTAAGATTTAGTAACCACTTAACTCATTAGTCCCTGTCATGCCTGGAACCTCCTGAACACTCTATGGTTTTATAAATTCACCAGGGTATAATTACAATGTAATACAGATACTGAAGGGTTATTATAAAAATATTTTAATTGATTGCACATCTTTTGAGAGTAAACGTTAGGGCTGTCCCAAATATACCAAATATTTGAATTTTCCATCATTAACGAATATTCGATTAGCTTTTTACCGGTTTGAATATTTGAAAGAAAAAAAAATGCTCGTACTCAACTGCGATGTTATTTTAATCGTAATGTTACGGTGCTATATTGTCAGATGCCACTGTCTGTTGACAGTGACAACAACTTTTCTGTCAACAGTGGTTCATTGTTCTCATTCTTTTAGCAGGCTACAGCCCTTGATAGTTATAAATACCTACTGCAAAACATTCCAGTGACCCATAACAGCGATCGTTGCACGTACATTTTACCCAACGCACTTTGCGTGCAAAATCTGATGGGCGCGGTACGCACTTGTAGCTGGCATGTGTAAATTTGATCAGCAAGTTTCGAATATTCGAATATTCGGTCAAATGTAGTTTTGAATAATCGAATAATCGTATACTAAATAATAGGAAAATGGGCAGCCCTAGTAATCATGATAAATTTTTCTTTGCATAAATGGATTTTTGCAGTTAAGAGTGGACAGAAATACTGTAACTAAACCCTAAATGAAAGGGAACACATTAACACTTTCTCACTTCAAATCGGAATTTATATTCCTAAATTTCAAATTACTGCATGAAAACTTACCTTGGGTACTTTTTTAACAAAGAATAATCCAAGAACGAGGACATAAACAAGTGGAACGAAGAAGGATTTGTAGGTGAAGAATTTCTGCTCTTTTTGGAGAAAATCAGTTCTGAAAGAAAACAAATAAGAACAGAAATATAGAGCACAGAAATATAGAAGGGACTTAATAAAAAATAATTCAACATGTATAAAGTTGTTGCTCTTTAAAACCATCTTCAAAATATTTGGAAGGCTTTAAGGGAGATACAAGAAAATACTGCAGGAGCTGTAACAATATTGCATGTGTTGAAGACGAGTGCAATATTTGTCTGGTTGACAACTGTGAGTTTCTACATTCTTATCGAGTGGGAATCAGTGAAATGCGCGGCGATTAATGCCCGGATGAGGGCAATATCAAAACGATACTGTCCTCATCCAGGTACTCCATCCAATAACCGTACAATATGCTGATATAATTTTAGTACACGGAAGACTGATATAAATAATAATATATAGACCAAATTGCTACACAAAATTTAGAAAATTTCACAGCAAAAGTTTAACCAATTTCTTGAAGCTATTTATAGAAGCAAAAATAAATTAAAAATTGCTCATAAAATTAAGTTAACACACAAATTCATATGAGTACCAGGCATTTGCTGTAGAAACTGCATGATGTTTTTTGGTTGGTAACCTATTTTGCTACGAAAAATTTTTGCTTCACTTTTTATGGAATAGAAAAGAATGTAGTATTCAGACGCCACTTCGGCGTTTATGTACAAAGTCTATGGAGAGTCAAGAACAGTATTTCTAACAAAATTGGAAATGTTTCTCAGTCCCAGATTCATGTCTAATCAACATTTTTGCAATGACTGACCTTCACTGAGATGATATGTGAAGTAAAAAGTGGCGTCAGGTTGCAACGTTCTTTCCATGGACTATTGCATGCAATTACACATGTGCCTATGGAAGCGGCTAAAGCCACTCCCCATAGACACGTGTGTTACTGTGAGCCGTAGCCAAGTAAATTGGACACTGCCACTAAATAAAAATGGGAAATTTCAAAATGTTTACCTGTCAGCCAGGAAGATGTAGAAGAGAATGATTCCAAACTTGGCCAGGGAGCTGGTCAGTTTATACGCCTGCAGCAGGTCGCTGCCCTTCCGGGCGGCGTTACCAGATTCAGGGTCTCTGGGAACACTGCCCTCTTGTGACGGCTTGACGTGATTGTGGAGACTATTTGCATTAGCTGACGGGCCGGGTTCGGGGATGGGTCGGGTGGCAATGTGCCGAAGACGCGCTCTGAGACCGAGGGAGACAATACCACTGGGGGGGGGGGGGGGGGGGGAGAGACAACAAAAGGGACAAAATAAGCACTCTTTGTGGGTTAAAACGTGCAGAGAACACCTGTCAACGAATCAGAGTGTAACATAGTCAGCATACAATAAGTCCTTAAAAGTCGAATCTCCAGCCATCCCAAATCAAATCACAAGTCATCTTAAAGGCCACTTCATACATCAGGGGAAAGCAAAAGCAAACCAAATCTCATAGCGTCAACAACTGAATTTTGACTGTGACGTTCGTGTGTGAAGTATGAACCTGCCTCAAGTCATTATAAGTCCAATCATAAGTCATCACACATCAATCACAAGTAACATGACAAGTCAAATCCAAAGTAAGTCACAAGTCAAATCACGTCAGGTTGACTGACCTGTGACTGACTTGTGACTGACTTGTGACTGACTAGTGACTGACTTGTAACTAACTTGTGACTAACTTTTGACTGACTTTGGGCTGGCTCGTTACTGACTTGTTACTGACTTGTGACTGATTAGTGAATGATTGTGACAGACTTGTGACTGACTTGTGACTGACTTGTGACTGACTTGTGACTGACTTGTGACTGACTAGTGATTGACCAGTGACTGACTAGTGATTGACCAGTGACTGACTTGTGACTGACTAGTGATTGACCAGTGACTGACTTGTGACTGACTTGTGACCGACTTGTGACTGACTAGTGACTGACTTGTGACTGACTTGTGACCGACTTGTGACTGACTTGTGACTGACTAGTGATTGACCAGTGACTGACTTGTGACTGACATGTAATGGTTAGATAAGAACTCTTCAAAGAAAGACCCTCAACAAAATAGGTAGTAAAAATCCCAATACAAAAAGATACATGTATGACCTCTGAACTTTGATCACTGAAAGATCAAAGGTAAGGAATTCACCACTGAGACAAAGTTCACAGAAGCTTCATATTAATTGACAATATCCAGGTCGGGCGAAGCATCTGAAGTTCAACTTACCATGAAATGAAGAAGCAGAACGTCAGTACCTGTAACAGGGTTGGCATGAAGCTTTCTCTGGTGCAGCACGTTGTGTCAAGAGGTCGACTCTTAGAATTACACACCAGGTTTAGTAATAATTGGGCATCCTGACAAAAAATAGAGAAATTGAGCATTCCATCACACTGATGAGTGCAGAAACCAGACTATTTGCTCCTCGTAACAAAATTGCCACATTGAAATAAAAGTCAGGCTGGCAAACTCACAAAATTGTTCAGCATGGAAATAAATAGCTCAGCATAACTGGGTTCAGAGATTGTTAGCAATGCAGCCATCTATGAGATACAGTGGAATCTCGATAAGTCAAATTTCAGGGGGATTGACTCAACTTTCGAGTTATCCAATGGATTTTCTATTCAACAACAATTGACGGGAATAAGTTTTTCTTTGAGTTACATGTAGAAGGGTTTTTGAGTTAACAGGTTTTGACCTTTCGAGATTTCACTGTATGTGTTTTTATTTAGCAGAGAGTAAATCTCTCGTGCATTCATTGTTAAGGGAACAAATAATAAAGCGATGGAGCAGTTATGAACGTCTGGTTTAAAACTGGTTAAGGGACTGGTTCTCCTGGACGTAAATGGTCACTCTGACACAAATATCGTATAATTTACCGTGTTGAGTGCCTCGTTGCTTAGATGCATTCCATCCGTTGTGTCTTCCTGTGATTTATTGGAGACTTCCATGGCTGAGTACCACAGCTCCACATTTGTATTAGCTCTGTTAATAAAATTAAAGTTATTATGCTGGTTAGCTTTGGTGCAAGATGCAGTCAAAATGATGCGCCAATAGAGGGCGCTGTCAACAAATACAAAGTGTACTTGGTTTCGAGATAGTAATGGCACTAAACTCCCTGTAAAATGATTCCTTCTGGCATGTTGTCATTTTGAAAAAAATCAGAATCCGAAAAGTAACTGACCAAATGAATGTTAACAAGTTGACTTGGTTTAAAGATAGTAATGGCACTAAACTCCCTGTGAAATGATTCCTTCTGACATGCTGTCGTTTTGAAGAAAAAAAACAATAAAAGAAGGTCATTTCTAAAGATGAGTCAAGTGAAGCATTTTTGGAAATATCCGTTAGTAGTTGGTTTGTCATTGGGCAAATCCTTGAATGGGTACACGCAAGCATTTACACAACTCACACATGTGCGCGGTTGCAATTATTCGTCGGTTTAGTGCATGACATTACGTAGCTGCAATCAGCTGAAATGAGAACGTGTTCTGGATGCTAATTTTAGGCATCATTCAAAACATGACTCTGCAACTTTTGAATTGAAATTGAGATCCTAGGTTTTTTTTGGGGGGGGAATAAACAGCATTCAGGTTATTTGTTAAACATTCGTCTTTAGATATTTAGCACTTTTGTTGCTTCAAACAAAATAAATGCACAAATGACAAATGATCTACTCTTCCAATAACACACAAGCATTAGATGGAATATCAGTGTAAGGCATGTGAGGTACAATGTAAGCTTAGAAGTTCTTGGGTCCGAGTGCCAACATTCCCAAGACTGGAGTCAATAATCTTGTTGATAACGCCCTCCATGGACCACACTTGCCAGGGGTTGGGACAGGTTGCACTAGCAGTCTTGAGCCAAGACTAGAGATTGGTTAGAAATCTCAATCTGCAGATAGGATACAATTATCTAAAATCTTTAGTGTTATAGAAACGCTGGGTATGTCTCCAGTTTCGGCTTCAGCAACATCAAATTCTACAAGGTGAGGCAGAAGTCAAGAGCATAACTCTTTATTTCTTTGATTCTGAAACCTGATGAAACCCTAGATTTGGAAAACTCCCCTACTACATGAAACAATGGGCTTTATGCGAGAGTGTAATAAGTGGCAGCAAGTACCGCAACCCTTACTCCTTAGCATGATTTGATGAACCACACCCATCCTGGCAAATTCCAACACCATATGGGAAACTGCACACACATATTTCTGACTTTGATTCTGGAGGTGTGCCAACCCAATGTAAAAGACTGTCAGTTTAGGGGTACTGTACCCATCCTGACAGATTCCAACAAAACATGTCGTTGGGGTTTGATGGGTTGAGTTCTGCTAAGGTTAATGAAAAAAAGAGAGGCTCCTACGTAACTTGAGAGTGATAACTTAATTGGATATGTAGAGGTAGTTTGGTGCCCTGAAAAAAAAACAGAGCTGGCTTGAACAATACATTGTTTCTGTCTTATACAATATGTAGGATTTGCCAAGAACGTAAGAAAATGGCTTTGCTTTAATTAGGTTGCCTGACTTACAAGACGTCTACTGTGGCAGCATTGTACATATCCAGCTGCTCGTTGGTGATCATCTTACGGCTTTCACTGAGTAAAGACTCTTGTACTGGAGCTGAAACAATCAATAAATGAACAAAATAATAATAAAAACCATGTTGATTTATCAATTCCTCTTCACCCTAAGAATTAAAGAAGTAGATAAAAGACCCAACAAACTTAATTATTAATATCAATTGGCAAAAAAAAAACATAAAAAAAAATTTAAAAAAAATGAAATTTGCGCAAACTACCTTGCATCATCCAAACCACTTTGGTGCTGTCCTCTGTCTTCTGCAAGATTGGTGTCAGCTGCGTGAGGTTCACTAAACACCAAGCAAGAACAGAGGAATAGAATTAACAACTCAGATGTAATTGAGTGCAGTAGTTTATTTCTTCATTCCTTCTTTCAGCTTGGTATCCCCATGACTGCTTGAGCACTTTTATCCACCAGGTACTAACTTTGAATTGAGAGCTGATGAAGACGAAAATACAAGGTTACTTAAAAGTGGGAGGAAAACCCACAAAACTAAAGAACCAAAAAAATAATAATCGGGTTCAGACTTAACAACCTAATCTACAGTTTCCACATCACCAACCTGATTTTATTCAGCTATTTTTCTACGTGACATTTTGAAAATGTCACGTAGAATATTCTTCGTCAGACAATTGTTCTCTATAATGAGCATTAATAGGACCGTCTGCGTGAAAATTTCCTTCCGCAACTACCAATGCATCTTCCCTGTCAGATTCTCCGCCGTCACTGCAAAACCTACTTCGAGTCAGAAAGAAATCATCGTCTGAACTATCAATTTGTCAACGGAAGGAGCCGGGACAAATGTTGCAACCTGACGCCACTTTTTTTCTCCATATATCATCTCAATGAAGGGCATTCATTGCAAAAAAGATGATAAGACATGAATCTGGGACTGAGAAATATTTCCAATTTTGTTAGGAAATACTTAAAAAATTATTGACTCTCCATAGACTTTGTACACAATCGCGGAAGTGGCGTCAGGTTGCAACATTTATCCGAAGTCTTTTCATCTCCATCCACTGTTAATGCCAATACTTCTTTTGACGCAATGGTTTAAGTCGAAGAATACACTCACAAGTGTGGATTCTTAATTTACGAATTCACTCGGCGCTTCGCGCCTCGTGGATTCTTAAATTACGAATCCACACTTTCTCGTGTATTCTCCTTAACGTCTTCTCTCTACAGGTTTAATCAGGCTTTTGAGTTACACTGCCTAGAGCACTTTTGAGGAATCTTGGTTTCATTTATACCAGAAATAAATAAAGAAATAAACAGTAAACAAATCCTCCCACCTCCCAATTTTTTTCTCTTGTTTTTTCCCAAACTAATGCCCAGCCAATGATGATATGTTAAATGCCACTACATTGTATTGCGGAATGATTGCCTTTACATCTAGCAAGAATGAGCTATTACCTGTGTACTGTTCTAATGCCTCATGTGCAGCATTGTGCAGCTTAATCGTCCATGTTGCTACTCCAAGGACCACTAGTACCGGCTTCGGGGACGAAGACTGAAAAGACAAAGGTCAAAAGGTCAAGTTTATATAAACAGACTGAGGGGTAAAACCAAATATTCAAGTTTATATCTCCCACATCCCAGAATTCCACTGTAAAAAAAGAACAACAAAAAATTGACCAAAATCGCCATAGAATGCAGATGTTTACTTGGGAAAAAACCTTTCATTTTGAAAGAAAGCATCCATATAAACATGAAATGGCATTGCAAAATCAATGTTGTCAGTTCTTTTTGAAAACTACATTTTATTTAAAAACATTGTTTGTCAAAGTTTAACTGCAAAGAACTTAAATACTTGCACGCTTATAGGGAATATACAACATTTGCAAACATAAAAAAACCAACTACCAATTATTTTGAAATATCTTACTGGACTGTTAGTGAATGACAGTCTAAAGCATCCTGTAAAATCATGGCACCTGGTGTGCTGTCATTTTCAAGAAAAGTGGTATTTTTGTATCAATTTCCAATGCTGGTTGGCTTTTTTCAAACACTGCCCGCAATTTACCGTAGTTAGTTAGTCCGCATTTTGTTTGCAATCGATTACACACCTTTGAATAGGTACAAGCCAGCTAGACTGGTTCCCTGACCTTACAATTCCCTGATGTCTATAAATTGCTCAGTTTTATTTGAAGATGGATCAGGGAACCAGACTACAGGAATATGATTGTTTTCCCAGCATCTACGAACACAAATCCTCAACCAAGTCAGTGTAGCAATGTTTGCTATAAAATACTAACCCCCAAATCCATCCATTACCTTTAAATATATCAGACACCATTTGCAAAAGTTCAAAAATGAAACTGTCACAATATCATGAAATATCCTAATTGTTTGTAATAACTATGTACAATTTCTTGCGCTTTCAATCAAAATCTATGCTTTGGGCAGAATAAAATGAAGATGCAATTTTTTACAGTTTTCTACTGAGCTAAAATTTGGACAGGTTAGTTTATTTTATTAACATACTTCAGATTAATTTTTTTGTTCCTCCATGAATCAGGGGAAAAAAATGTGGGGTGTGTGAAATTGTGTCCATTACCTTTCAGCACAATGTACTACACAGTTTTATTCAGTCAAATTATAAAGGAACAATCTACGCAAACAGAAATCTATAAATATCCGTCCACATGTTGTAACCATCCATCTGGGTGAGTTTGTGGATATTAAGCTTGGCCAGATGTTGTGAAACCCCAACAGACCAAATAAATGGAATTAATTTTGGAGTGCCGCTCTGTGCACAAGTACTGTACACTGAGTGACAAAAACTGCACAATTTGATTGAAAAGTCATTGATTGCGGTTCTCTGTTGTTATTTCAGGTTCCAAATGGTAATCCAACCCCGGCAAGCAACAAGTACACCGTGCTTAAAAATTAGGAAAACAAAAACCCAAGCATTAAATACTGAATTATCTCAAACTTACTAGTACTTTAGCTGCATATTCTTTATTGAGAGAGTTGTTCACTTCAGGCTGCCAGAGGAACTCCTGAAACGAAAAGGGCAGGAGATGAAAATTGGACAAACTTCTGGCAAGTGGGCACAAATTACATCGGGAACAAGCCACTATCTAACGAACATTCTTCGCCCAAACTTGCTTCAAGATACCACAATGGTATTCGAAGTTTTGACAAGATTTGCTTTGGTGAAAACGCCACGTGCATGCAAAATCATATAGGGTACCAAAGCAACTGAAGAAAAAAGATTTTTTTTTACAGAAAACAAACCCAAAAATTCTCAAACTCTGATAACGCCCATGTTTTATCAAATTTAAGCTCAATAAAAGTTTATACATTTTAACTTGTCTCAATGTTTTACATTCATTACTTTATACGTTTATAATTTACAGACTAAAACTCCAATCTTCATTTTGCTTGTATGAAAAAAAAAGCTTCAATTGCTATTGCCTCCATAGACTCATGTACATCTATATTCTGTGTTCATCCCAATGTGTACAATCATCAAATATTGAAATGCACATCACTGGTGGAATAATGAAACAAGCTCATTATTGTCTGCCGGACGTATAAGTTTCTATTACCGCAATTACAATTATAAAACGAGACTGCTTTGTCTGCAACATTATCTTTTAATGGCAGCAATAATATACATCGATGACTTGGGCATACATTTCATTTTCACTTCTAGTTATGATAACAACTGCTGTTGTTGCACGCTGGTTTAGGCAATAAAAAAATACGCAACATGAAATTCATCTATGATTCCAACTTCACACCACAAATACAGCTAATATCGAACGGATGAGAACATTTTTTAAATAAATAGAACTGCTTCACGACGTGTGTGGGAGGTTTATTATTTGTATGAATTAATAAGGGAATAAATATGTACTTGGGCGTTTTTAAACAAGTTCGTTTAAAACCGGCCAGGGGCCTGGATGATGAAAATGGCCCAAGCTAAATACCTTTTGGTCAAAAAGTCAAAACAAGTCAAAGATTATACATTTCCAACGCGATGTGGCGCAGAACGCAGCAGTGCCAGAAAAAATAGTGTTCAAAACCAGTCCGTGTTTTATCAATCGTTTAAAACCACCCAGGTGACGGGCTCTTGGCCAATAGGAATGGGCAAACTGTCTTAGATATTTATGAATGAACAATAACTTACTATTGCAGTCTTTGTTTCTGGAATCGTGTGCAGCAGGTTCTCATGCTATGAGAGAGATGAAATAAAACAATTGCAATGGAAAGAATTAACAACCAATATTAATTGAAATGTTGGGGAAAATCGAGACCCGAACCTATGGCCTCCGTACATGAATAGTAAATGGCGCTCGGTGACTCATTGTGAGAGCTCAGTGAGGGACACATTGCATGCATGTAATGGTTCATGCTGGTATGGTGCAAAGGTATACATAACTATATTGAATTCATGTTGAGTGCCTAACACGCCCTTCTCTCCCATAAATGTATAATTGAGGGGAACAATACATTCATGTTCCCTCCAAACTCTCTTTCACAGTGTTTCTATTGAGAGGCAACTTGCACATCATGGAGTCCATAGGAATGGTTTTCATGTGATTAAAACATCTGTGAGTGGATCCATGACTAGGCTATTAAAAAAAAATGCAATTTGCATCGGAGTGATGTAAATTCAATAATGTTTTTGTTTTTTTTCTTCTCAATCGGGACAACACTGAGTATGCAGTGTTTATAAATATAATCTGATGAAGGGTAAAACTCAATATTGAATTTACATCACCTCTGATGCAAATAAATCTTATGAATAGGTTGGTTGCAGTGCCCTCTCCTCTATGTAAGATTCGAACCAGCACGCCGACCTACCAGCTCGGTTGGTCGAGGGATAAGACATCTGCACTAGTACATGCAGTTTGTGAATATTTCTCACATCAATCGTTACAACACTAGTTACATGTACATGAGTACTGGTACATGCAGTTATTCATAAAAAGTAATTTGCATCGGGGTGATGAAATTCAATATTGGGGTTTGCCCTTCACTGACGTATTTTATAAACACTGTATAGTGTTGCTCGAGCAATTGTGAGAAAAAAAATCACTCGAGTGGGACATGAACCCATGACCTCCTGCTTACTAATGCAGACATCTTACCACTCGACAACTGAGCTTGCCGGGGTTGGCTGGCTGGTTTGAATCTGACACAGCAGCGGGTAACGAGACCAAGCTATTCATAAGATGGAATTTGCGTCGGGGTGATGAAATTCAATATCGGGTTTTGCCCTTCATCAACGTATTCTGCCCTTCACTAACGGTGGTCAAATGGTAAGACGTCTGCACTAGCAAGCAGGAGGTTTCAGGTTCAAGTCCCACCAGAGTGATTTTTTTCTCAAATCACTCGGAGCAACACTGAGTACAACGTGCTCAGTGTTTACAAAATACGTCGGTGAAGGGCAAAGCCCGATCGTGCCAATATTTGTAAAAATTCGTCGGTTAAGCTTGCAAAACCCAATTGTGAAGGCAAGGATTGTGTAGTCCAGCTGTACCTGAATTTTCCTGAAAGTCTCAGTTTAGGAATTTATTTATACCCAATAAGTTAGTCAGTCACTAGTGGGTCAGTCACCCAGGGGGGTCACCCAGGGGGTGGGGGAGTGAGTCAGTCAGTCACTCAGTGAGTCAGTCCGCGACTCTGTCAGTCAAGGGACAATGGGCTGGCCCTTTGGGTCCAGCAATTTCTTTTTTTACAAATTAGTGGAAAATGTGCAGTGCATAATTCAAAGCAAATTACATAAAATTCTGGGGACATCAGTAGATGGTTGTGGAGCTTACTCATACACAATCACAACAGATGGCCATGATGAATGAAGAGTTACACTGCCGAGATTAAAATCCTAACAAAATCCAAACAATCATTCCAAGTGCTATGCAGAATTCCATCTGCTTCATTCATGTTTAATTCATCTGGAGGCACCCAGGCGGATCTAGAAATGTTCCACTTGGGAGGGGGGTGTGTCATCCTATGGCGTCCGACCGAGAACATGAACAGATCTTTGTTCCCAGACACCCGCTCTCTGTAAACTCGACGAATGGACTAATTCTGAATAGAGCATATACATGTAACTTGACCATGTTGACCTGAAAAACTTATGACATTTGTCAACAATGCAGCACATCCTGTGTATAGCGTCCTATTTTTGGCATTAAGTTTGTGTCCCTACTGGGCCAATCAAATCAAGGGCAATAAATGGTATTTCGAAAGGAGAGAAGGCATTACAATTCACAACATATTGGAAATATTGCGAACTGATGGCTATTACAAAATTGAAATTGTTCACCTCCATTTCTGTTCAATTGATCAACAATAATTTCAAACATGGGAGTCTGTGACTAGACTAATCAATTAGTGTTTGGTACCAGGACGTTCACATAAATGTGGACTGGTGGGACTTACACGCTCTATTGAGACTACATGTATGTACCCTAAATCAACCCAATGTGTCTCAAATGGAGCTCACGAAGGAGGTCGCCAAGTGGTAGCCACTGTTCATGGCTTCACGCACGCAGTCTATGATAAACCCCTTTAGTTTCCTGGTCAAATTGCCACATTAACATAAAGTTACAAGCACTTCATGATTGATACTGCAGGCCGACACCCTAATGTATTTTCATGGAGGTGACAACTTGACGATCCACATGCATCCATACACATGAGCCATCCTCCTCAACGTAACACACAGACCAATGAGGAGTCAGGTTCCACTTTGTATTAATGTAATCAATTAACCTATGGCAGGAGAATCGCGTCAACCCAGCTTGTGAAATATTGTCTAATTACATGAATTACAAATGGGCACCGCAAAATCTGAAGCAAACATCTGAGGCTAACTTGAATACTGTATCCAGTATCGAAACAAGTTCTCAAAAGAGTCGACATCGTAAGAGTTGGAGTTGAGTGCAATAATACTTTGAATATTCATGGACCAAAGGTACATGTACATGTATGTACAATAAATATCCTGACAATGAATTGATAAAAATGCTAGAAATACGACCTATTTCAAGAAAAGTCAGTGTTCAGTTCCTGTCCGCAATCCTTACCTTATTATTCACTGACCCAACAAACAGATGGTGAATTATTTTAATTTTTTTTGGTTAGAATTCACAACTATCACACTGTAATGTGTGTGTCTTCAGACATGTTTTGAGAATTTCAAAATAGTGAAATTAAATATTCCAAAGACGTTAAGTAAATGAAAAACAAAAGTATTTCAAACTCACAAATTTTTCTTCCTTTAATTTCTCTGTCGTTATCCTCTGGGTGAATGTGAAATACAGCTGTCTCATCCGAGAATCGCCGATGAATAAGACGCGCTGGCCCGCAAGGCATTTAGATGAATCTCTACAACAAACAAACAAAACATTCATGGTGAAAGACACTGTGAATGCTACATGTACAGGGTAATATAAAAAATACTACTGAGTGACAGGAAGATATGATGATGAATATGGCACAACCCATCTGTTGTGATGTGGCTTATCTACTTATCGGTGATTGATGTTTCAGATCTCGCATTTCAACCGTTTAGGAAAAAAGTACAGTTGAGTGCTGATGTTCTCGTACCGAATTGAAGTGTACATGTTGGTGCGATGTGAAAAGTGTTGCAAGTATTGTTAAAGGGAATATACATTTTCTTTAGCTGTAAATTTTAGAAATGGATGGATTTGGGAGTAGTGTATTATAGTAAATATTGTTACACTGACTGGTTTAAAGTTTTGTGTTCGTAGATGCTGGATAAACCAAAAAAAACATATGTTCTTGTAGTCTGGTTCCCTGACCCCACTTAAGATGAAACAATGCAATTTATAGACATCAGAGAATTGTAAGGTCGTGAAACCAGTGTAGCTGGCTTGTACCCGTTCAAAGGTGTGAAACTGATTGCAAACAAACTAAATACCGGTATGGTAAATGTGGGGCAGTATTTGAAGAAAAAAAAGCCAGTTTTTTCCAAACACTGGTCAGCCGACCAGCATTGGAGACTGATACAGAAATACCACTTTTCTTGAAAATGTCAGCACACCAGATGCCATGATTTTAAAGGATGATTTAGACTCTCATTCATAAACAGTCCAGTAAGGTATTTCATAGTAATTTGGTAGTTTTGTTTTTTGATGTTTGCAAATGTTGTATTTTCCCTTTCAACGTGCATGAAATAATGTGATCAAGCAAAAAACAATATACAGTTAACAGTAATGCAGAAAATTAAAAGCAGGGACACTGTTTGTTACATACCATGGGAAGGCAGGAAAGGGGTGGGGGAGAGGGGGTGGGAGGGTAGATAATTGGGGAGGCAAGACAGAGGCAGGCAGTAGATGTAATGTAGGCACCGAAGCAAGACAATAAACATATCAGATGCACTAGGAGGAACATGTATGGAGATGATTGTAAACATTGCCTTAATAATAATAACTCCAAATAAAAATGTAGAATGAATCTTTAAAGGTAGAGTCCATCATTTGCAGCCATCCGAAAAGTAACTGGCGTAATTATTGTTGAAAAACTAACTTGGTTGAAAGATAGTAAGGAGACTAAACTCCCTGTGAAATTATTCTTTCTGGGAAGCTGTCATTTTGAAGTAATCAACGAAAGAAGGCATTTCCAACGGTGATTCTTAAGAAGCACCGTAGGAAAATTTAAATTAGTAGTTCGTTTTGTTATTCAGCGCAGCGCGCACAAGTATTCGAACGACGCACACGCGCGCGTGGTTGTTATAATTCGTCGGATCAGTGCGCGACGTCGCGTATAGTTGCAATTCAAAACAATTCAAAACATGATTCAGCAACTTTTGATTTGAAATTGAGATCTTAGAATGCTGTTTTTCTCGGAATGTACAGCTGAAGCTTAGCTGAAACTTCATCAGGTTAGTTGCTCAGTATCCTTCATTAGATTTTGAACTCTTTTGTTGCTTCAAACGAACAAAATGCACAAATTACAAATGATGGACTCTACCTTTAAACTGAAAAATGTACTCACGCCATGCTGTATTGATGCATCATACAGCCGGCTGGCTGCCACACATTAGGCCCCAGATATCTGCCTCCATACAGAAGATCTTGACAAGTGTCTCTCCCTATAAGACAAAAAAAAAGAGAAATCTAGATGACTTCTTTTGAAATAAGTGGACCACTCCATTCCATCTCGAGACTGTGTTCGATTTGATTCAAAATCCCTGTTCACTTCTCACAAAACCTCTGCGAATTCAAGAAAGTCATGACAGCAGGGACCATTTGAGATGATGCAGGTACAGAAGATAGATATGGGTCAGAAAAAAAAATTACATGTTAAAACACCTTCTTATGTATTTTTTAAAATTATTCGGCACACTAGTACTGTACACAAGTACCCCCTCAATGGTAAGAAAAGGGAGAATCGAACGAGACCACTGAGAGAGATTCGCATGCTTTGCTGATGACGTTTGACGCTCACATGAAGAGCCCAATGGCTTCGTGCACATTCAGAATACAATTACTCTTGTGTACTTCGCGCTACATCCAAGAGAACCAGCGCATGCAGTGTGTCCCATCCTCTGGGCTTTCAAAAGTGGTTGAAAAGCGCCCTCTATTGTTCATGCATAGGCAGTGTGCATCTCATATCAAATTGTTGAGATGTAGATTTACGGGTCTGGTGAAAAAATAAATCACACAATCCTGCATGTGAATTACTTCCACATATTGTACATGTATTTGTACACTAGACCCTAAACGTGCAAGCGCTACATTTCATCACTGACAACTTACCGTAGTAATACCGAGCAATTCCATGACTGGATAGCACCAAGGCCAGGAGCACCACTGCTACTATCTTTCCATTCCTTTCAACTAGCACAGTTGAGAGTCTTTCAGAAATGGTTTGACATGAACTGACAACCACCGCGCCGCCTGCCATTTCCTCCATGAAATACACAACTGTACTTAAATAACATGCAGAATATTTCCTCCAATTTCCCCAGCAATCCTTGGCAACCAATGCAAGTCAGACAACACGATGCACAACCGATACGGCTCTTGTAGACTGACTCAAAAATGCTGTTGATTTGAAATCGATAAAGTGGGTGGAGTTCTCGATTAGCTTTGCACCGACAGAGAGGCAGCAACAACACGCTGACTCCTAACCTTGATGAAGGCAAACAATCTCCATTCACACCAACGGCTCACAACCAGTGGAACTACTAAACTGGAAATAATTCATTCGTATCCAGAACGCCTCGTCCACAGAAATACAGAGTACAGATTCCAAATATTGATTTTTTTATGGACCATGTCACCAATGACGTGGCTGACGTCACGCATTTAGGTTGTCGATAGTCAGAACAACCACCAAAGCATCTTCTTTACGTTTATTCCCATAATGTTCACACACACTTCAAATGACGTACGCTGTACACAATTTTGAGTATTGCCTTTTCTTGATAAATATGACAACAAATTTGACTGCTATAACATACTAATTTGCACTTCAGTGTAACATGGTCTACTCAGCTGAAAATATCTACACTCTTTGCCCACTACAAACTGGCAATAGTTTCTAGGCTTTCGGTTTGGGTAGTCAACCATGAGTTGGTGCACAATTGAAGATCACACAATGCCCTGAACTTACCCCCCCCCCCCTGTAACTGTGCAGGTGAAGGCCCATGCAAGGTACGTGTACATGTGCCAACCTATGTACATTTGTACAATGTACATGTAGCGAAGAACTGGTTTGTACACAATATAGTGTGGCAGGACCGGTTCAAGAGGTATTACTGACAAAAGATCACCTGACGTTCATGAGTGAAGCGCAATCATTTCAATTATTAATATAAGAACTCGGTGTCACATGCATGTATTACATACATGACCTTCTCTATTATTCACTATGAAAAAAAAACGAGAATCACTCTGACAAATGCAACCATGCATCCAAAAGGGTTAAGAAAAAAAGGAAGTAAATTATTTGCTTAAATAAACATAAATAAATAATTTTAGGATGGAATTTTGTGAGTGTGCATGTGTTTTTGTGATGGACATTTTTGGGGGGAGAGATGTACATGTACAGGGTGGTGCAAAAAGAAGGAAACCCACTTTTGACAGCAATTTCCGCCTACTTGTTGAGCATACATGTATTTCAAAAATTCAATTTAATGGTACTTAAATATTGATCTTTAAACATTAGAGATGAAAAAATGATTGCAAAAGCATATTTTGTCTCTGAGATATGGTAGTTTAAAAATTTCATGTGCAAGCCTGTTTGTCCACAGACGGTTTTATTCAATCCGCTTGACTGAGCTCCGGAGCTTGATTTGAAGACAAACAACACTACACTTCACTTACGCATGGACAAGAGTGAGTTGGGAGACTTGTACCCCGTATTCAAATTAGCATATTAACACTTTTCTTGCGATTTGTAAAAAAAAAATTCCCTATGAATGGTTGAAGAGCTTAAGTACATGTAGGTTAAAATTCCTGTCAAAAGTGGGTTTCCTTCTTTTTGCACCACCAAGTACGTATATCCAACATTACATACATGTACATGTATGTGTACATGTAGGTTGAATTCAACGAGCCCCTCCCATTTATGTAGGCTTGTGACTTTTCTTTTCACAAGCCTTAGGTCAACACTGAGTATACAGTGTTAATTAAAAACATATATTGGTGAAGGGCAAAACCTAATGTGGATGTTGGACAAATATATAAATCAAAACAAATACAAAAGTAGACACGCAATTATCAGTATAATATTTTCCAGTGAGACCCTTGCAAGGGTCACACTGAATTAGTGTGGCCCTGGCCCAGAGCAATCATGCATACTGTACGTCAATGCATTCACAGTGCATTATCGAGGCTAGAAACCACTCTCATAATGCCTTCCCTAAAATGCATTATCAAATGTGTCCGGTCAGTAAACAAACAAGCTGAAATGACAAAGGTGGTTGGTCAAATACATGTATATGGAATTTTGGGTTCAAGGTTAGACAAAGAGAAACAACTTCAATTTCTGTTTTAGTATTGAGAATGTGACGATTATTTCCAATATTCGATCATCAACTTTAATTTGATTAGTACTTTTTCACTTGAAATATATTCGAAAAATGAGAATGATCTCCAGGAAATGATGAAAATAACGTCCTTGGTGTTATTTTAATCACATCAGTTGCATGGTTTTATGACCGTGGGCCTATGTATTTGTCAAATGCCATACCTTTGTCGAAAGCAAATTTCTTAATTAAAATTGGTCAAATATCATCCATTTCGCAAACTTTTCTTTACATTATTTTAAAACTGTTTTGTCCATTTTTATCAAGCATATAGGCACATGCAAATCCAGGCTGGAGGCCACTTTATGTTCGTTTAGGTTAAACTCGAATAACGATTAGCGCATTTCAAATATTTGAATATTCGATCAAGTCCAAGTTAAAATACTCAAATACTAGATTGAAAATGAACAATGCAAGGGCCCATGGTACAATGTAGCTGGTGTTGCCATTTTATCCACGACATGGTTGCCATTTTATCCACGACATGGTTGCTTCAAGACATTGCTTTAAGCCTTAAGGCATTAATATTGTACTCAGGCAGTACGGCACCTCCATGTAACATTGATGACAGATTCCTGGCTAGCAATTACCTTCATATGCATGAGCCTAATTGACGTGCACAGAATGTCATCCAAGTAGACAGGTGTATTTTAAAGACATTGCATTCATCAAATCATCGGCATGTCACTGTTCGTTAGTATCAGTAGGATACCCAAAATCAAAACATCAGACTTTTGGGAGGCCAAAATCTCATCCAATCTGCATCCAATTTTGCTCTCATCTGTAAAATTTTCTGAGCATGTGTATAAAAGATCAGTGTCCTTCGTGGCATGCTTTTATTACCAAGCCCCTTAAATTTGCAGTGATTGTAACGATCGCAAATCACAGGCCGGGTCCAATACTTGATTGCAAACCTTTCAATTTTGAAACCTATGAACTATTATTTGGACTAGGACGAGATTCCTTGAACCAGAAAAAAAAATCCTTTTTTCCTTTTTTGGATGTCTGCAACCCTATGAGAAAGAAAAGTATATGTTTTGGGCACATCGTTGCCAGCAGAGTGGTTCCTACATACCGATACTGAACCAACCTATCCCGAAGGAACGGGACTATTTTCTGGCAGCCAATAATTCAAAATTGTAAAGTAATAATTCAACAACTAAACAGTTTGTCAACTTTGTCATTTAGTTTGTTTCTTTTTTTCGGTCAATGTCTCATTCAAAAGTGAATAAATTTTATACTGCTAGAAAAATAGCAATTTCGAAAAGGAATCTTTTTTTTCGGGATAAAACCCAAAAATAGCAAAGGGAATGAATCTTTAACAGCCGACCTTACTTTGTTCCTTGAACCAATCCACACGCGTACAAACCAAATAGGGTGCGTCAACTGGCGAACAACATTGTAGGCCTACATGTACATGTACCGGTACATACCGGTACAGCACGGCATCAACAGCTCCACAACTGAATAATACAGTGAATTTACAAAAGGTACGGTACAACATCTGCGGCCCGCAAGTATGTGTGTACGGTAAAATATACAACCAAAGAATCCCAAACATTGGTACAGCTACATGTAATTACAAGATGTGAAATGTTTTGCCATGTTTCGAAACTACCACAGCACAATGCTCCAGGCAACAAATAACCTAATCCGTGTGTAATGGTTAAACGTCCACTTGCAATTCACACAAAATGTGTACAAAACATGAAGCTAATGGTGTGAATGATTCATACAAAATACCGTATCTACAGGGTCCCAAGTTCACATAGATAGTCTATTTAACGACATTCATGTATGCATGCATACATGCATGATGCATGTATGTAACTGCAAGCACACAGCAACAAAACAAGGAGTGGCTTGAAATAAAGGACTTTAAACTTCTGTTTATAAACAACTTATTGTCACATACATGTAAATTATGAACGGGTGTAAATATTAATCTGGTAATAAAAAGTAGTTTTGAAAAGCGTGACCAATACATCTGCAAAAATGTTTTCTCTGATTTTTTTTTTAGCAATTTACATAAATGTACACATGTACATTCCAATATACATGTACATGCATTCAACTGGGGCCTTTATGTAATTTCAACTTTTCACCCCGCATTTGTCGTAACCTCCTAAATTCCTATCACAAGTACATGTAGTTTGATCCGATTGAGGTTGATTCATTTATGCAATTTATCTTCTTCTTCACACATCTTTAAACGAAATTGTCCAAATTAATTCATGTACATGTACATGTACATGTACCCGGTAAAGCTGTCATCTTTTGATGTAATGATCCAAACACATGTTTCTTCAAGGATTGTTTTCAGGAAGTACACAAGGAGACGAACTACAGTAAAACAAGATGACAGCCAGCATCAATCCCATGTGCAATAAAAAAAAATGATTGATCTCCCTTAATTTGCATCACAATATGCGAGGTGACTTTAGCTTTTTGCCATATTATATAAAATTCACAGATTACCAAGTCAAAACAATTCTCCTCTATAAAAGAAATACTGTGTATCGGTTGGTTTACGTGTAAAGTTCTAAGAAATCGTTCACCTGCAGATTGAAAAAACAAAACAACAGCATAATCATCCCAAAAGTAAAGAAGACCGCCACATAGACAGCCTACCAGACCAGAACCCCACCCAACAGACAGACAGATAGATAGATACAGATGAATACATCATGCCTCTTATAAATATGGTAGCTTTATACAGGTAGCCACATACATGTTTGTTGTGTAAATTAAAGGGAAAAGAGGAAGGAAGGGAAGTCATTAAACCTTCCGTCAAACAAATCAACCACCAAGTACATGACTCTTTGCACAGATGTTGTTCCTGAGTAAATTATATATCCCCTTTGAGACAGGTTGCGCTATTAAAACTTTCGGTCCTCCTAAACTACAAGCATTGGAATTTATCAGTTAAAAGAGCAATAAGGCCTGAAATCCCCCAAAATTGCACATTTTGGATTGTTTACTTTACTATATTTCAAAGGTCTGGTTGAAAGGAAACTAACTTAATGCCTTACCATTCCCGAAAAAAGATGAAAAACCCCTGTTGTTTACATCGGACGCGACAGACATTTTTTGACATACGTTTTTTAAGTCATATCTATTCAATGTATCGTACACGTTCTGTGTGTGAATATCGAATACACACAGCACCAATGCACAAAATGTTATTTCTCATACGTCCACATTATGCAATACCGTGCGGCTGGATTCACACCAAGCATTTAACAGCCCGATTTTTGGGGGACAAAATTGTGACCCCGATATTCGTTCTTGCAAAGTGCTCGCTTGAAATATAATCCGACTGTTGGTGACTGACTAGCCTGTGTAAAAGGCATGGCAGGGGAAGAGGATGGATTTTTTGACTGTCTGTGACTGTTCAGATAGAAGGAGGGTTAAGGAAGCGGATATTTGACAGTGAATCGATCCAGATTATTTTTTGGTTCAACCAGCAATATGTGCAGTGAGTGCTATAACAGAATGAAAATCCACTTTTAACTTTTTTGACTCCCCTACACGATATTGTATTTGTACATGTAGATAACAATGAAAACATGTTGAATATCTGCAGGATTAATTTTGTGGAATGAGGGTAGGGCTTTGAATTTTGATGGAAAATATGGGGTAAAAATGATGATGGCGACACAAATGTTAAATTGGAAGGCCCTAAAGTGTGTTAAATTTGAAAGCCCTCAACTCTGGAGTTCCCTTGCCAACTCTATTTAGAAATTGCCATCCATTTCTACATTCAAAATTAAGATCTAATAATTGATCTTCAACAAATATTCAAGTTTGTGAACTTAAGTCCCATTATCCCTTGTTGGTAAAAAAATCCATCTTTTGATTTAATTCATTTTTTCTTGCATAGCATCATTGTCTATTATGAGCCCTGTACCTTCATATTAATTCAAATTTCTTCAATACTCACCTTTAATGTAATTGTCATGTTCATTGTCTTTGTCATTTAGTTTATTTCTTATTGCATCAAGTACCGGTAGGGCCCATTGCTTTAAGCTTTGTCATTTTCTCTGATGCCATTTTCTTTTATATCAAGTTAATTGTCATGTTCATCGTCTTTGTCATTTAGTTTATTTCTTTTTTCATCAAGTACCGGTAGGGCCTATTGTTTTAAACTTTGTCATTTTCTCTGATGCCATTTTCTTTTATATCAAGTTAATTGTCATGTTCATTGTCTTTGTCATTTAGTTTATTTCTTTTTGCATCAAGTACCGGTAGGGCCTATTCCTTTAAGCTTTGTCATTTTCTCTGATGCCATTTTCTTTAATATCATCATTGTCTACTATGAGCCCTGTACCTTTACATTAAATTGACTTTAATACCTGTAGATTAATTCATGTTCATCGTCTTTGTCATTTACATTGGTATGTCTACGTTTCTACAAAGTCGTTATTATGTACCTGTTTATAGTAGCTTGTTTTTGTTCAGGAGACCCGTTTTTGACAAGCTGTGCTTTTTGTGGCTCCCCTGCATCTCTTGGTATTAATACTACGGTAGTTACTTGTAAATAATCTTTGTCGTCATAACCTACTGGAACTGTATTACAACCATTCTTTGTATATTTTTGTACTTCCATGGGATGAAACTAAAGTAAAGTGAAGTACCTAAATGCACATTTGCAGTGAAAATAAACATAGTGACAGTTTTCCTGCGCAGTTTGTGCTTTGTGATTCAGTGCGCCATGCGTGTTCACGGTACATTGCGCAGTGACCGCCATCTTTATTTTTGGGTTACGTGTTGTCGCCGCGCTGTCATCGTCATTTTACCCCCAGATCTCCCTCAAAATAAAAACCCTGCACTCTATCTATGACATACCTGTTTATTGAGAATGCTGCCAACTAGTTTCGTAGGTCTAATAAATTTAAAGTGGATTTTGTTCGCTTATAGGAACTCGGCCCTACACTACACAATCGCCCAAGTTAGTGATGGCCAGATATGGGAATCTTTCCAAATCAGGTATTAATTAAATAAAGTTGCATTTTCTCCCTCCCAAAAACTGTTCAAAATTTAAAACAGTTTGGTCAATATAATATTAATAAGCAGTTTCATGGTAATATGGGCCATCTTGTTCACGGGGCAAAAAGAACACACATTGCTAGTCACAGGCACATTTTTGAATGAATGACTTGGAAGTGCAAAAGTTTTCGATGGACGATGCGTACACAGCAAAGCGTGTAAATTTGTCCAATCACTAGGATAGCGCATATTACCGTGAAAGTGCTTATTATTATTTTGCCTGAGGCTTCAGATGTAATGTTGGAACCACAAAAAATTAGGTGTGCTAAACAACAATGCAGTGGCTATTGTTACAGCAGCCGTAATGTGATTTTCAAGTGTTATCGTAACAGAACCATCTAGTTCCCTGACCTAATATTATTCAATAGCAGACCTAATATTATTCAACGATAGCAGCTGCGGAAAGATTTCTAAATTCAAAGTTCACTCAACACCCTGTGTACAAACCCTATGAGATTGGACTGAAAAATTCTAAGTGTTTTCTAAGAAAATGCTTGTATTTTCTCACTGCTCAAATTGACTTTGATGACATGAAAATAAATTGCTATCTGGGGGTAGCTGGAGTTACCCAGCCCTGAGTTTTATCATTGGGTTGTCTATTAGGGCTGGAGCGAATTTTTCTCCTAACTTGTAGTATAGGCAAAATTTTTTGGAAAATGTTCAATTTTGTCCCCGTTACACACTAATTGCAACTGCAACTCACCCCAAACTTGCCTGGAATAACCATTACACAGGTCCTTGAAGTAAAAAACGATCCACGATGAAGATTCAGCCTACAATTGTAGTGAAAACAGGAGGAATAAGGCGAAGTAAAAAAAAAAACATGTTTAGCGTCCCCGCCCGCTTCCTTTTTAGAGGCCGCCTCCTTTTTTTTTTTTTTTTTTTTTTTTAAAAGACAAAAATTGATAAATTTTAACGATCTCTGACGAAAGAAATCGTATTTTTAGACGTTTATACCGTGTATAAAGCTGTGGAAATAGTCAATGAGTCCAAGTGGCGGCCATTTTGAAAAAAGCTGGTAACCATCTTGAAAAATAGCCCGGCCGCGTAGTCTTGAAAAATGTGTCGGGCGGCCATTTTTAAAAAAACAAAAAAACAAGTCAGGTGTGTTTACAAACACAAATGCCCCGCAACCGTGACTGTTCCCATGACATAACACCACTCTAACATCAACTTACATGTACCTTGGTCAAATGGAACGTTCATGACAGCATTAGTGTCTTCTGTAGGTTTTATATGAATTAATCCCTAATCCCTATGATCTCAGAATAAATACAAGATTTCTATTGTTTTAGCCACTGTGACCTTGACCCCTGACCTTTCGACCCCCAATGCGATAGGCTCCTTAGGATTGCCAAGGACAATCCACAAACCAAATTTGAAGTTCATATGTAAAGTATATCTCAAGTTATCTCGCTGACAAAATTTCTATTGTTTCAGCCACTGTGACCTTGACCCTTGACCTTTTGGCCCCAAATGCAAAAGGCTTCTTAGAATTGCCAAGGACAATCCACAAACCAAATTTGAAGTTCATATGTAAAGTATTTCTCAAGTTATCGTGCTGACAAAATTTCTATTGTTTCAGCCACTGTGACCTTGACCCTTGACCTTTCGGCCCCAAATATGCAAAAGGCTTCTTAGGATTACCAAGGACAATCCACAAACCAAATTTGAAGTTCATATGTTAAGTATTTCTCAAGTTATCGCGCTGACAAGATTTGTCCGGACACACACACCCACACACACCCAGTCGTTTTTTGCTATGCTTCCGAGGATTGGCTTTGTGTTTTCCTTTGTCCCTGTAATATAACACTCTCCCATAGACTAAGCACACAAACCTGCGTTCGAGGACAATAGGCACCTTCCTTCGAGGATCAATGGCCCCTTTGTGCTCCTTTTGTTGTCTGTCCTCAGGCGTAATGCCATGCAGGAACACACCCACCCACCCACCCACCCACCCACCCACCCACCCACCGCCAACAGCCAGCGCAGCCGGCAAAAACGAGTAGTTGACAGCGCTCTGTGCCTGATAATCGACCGCCATTCATTGTACACAATTTTTTTTGTGCACAAACCAATTGCGGTCCTGGCCAATCCAGCAAGGTTGTCAAGTTAGCGGTTATTCCTCCTGTTTTCACTGCAATTGTAGGCTGAATCTTCATCGTGGATCGTTTTTTACTTCAAGGACCTGTGTAATGGTTATTCCAGGCAAGTTTGGGGTGAGTTACAGTTGCAATTAGTGTGTAACGGGGACAAAATTGAACATTTTCCAAAAAATTTTGCCTATACTACAAGTTACGAGAAAAATTCGCTCCAGCCCTAATAGACAACCCAATGATAAAACTCAGGGCTGGGTAACTCCAGCTAATCTGGGGGCTTGTTCATGTTGTTAGTCAATACAGAGGAAAATTAGTGAACTTCTTATATGGAAATCTTTCCCAAAACGGAGTAAAACTTACCAAAAATGAGATAGGAAATTCCATGGCTAGCAAGCACAAGAAAAAGAAGACTAAATGCCACAATTTTGGCGTTATTTTCGTCCACTTTATCGGGCATTTCTTTTGCTCCTTGTTTGGATGCCGTCCTCCCAGGCGAAGCAGTAGCCATCTCGATTTTCAGTCTGGTGTCTTTGACATCAGGCTCCTGTCCGTCCATGGAATGTGCAGTTTCAAATTGACAACAGATATGACGTCTGGGCACAAGTCGAGTAATCACGAGTTGACAGCTGCGAAAATTTAACAAAAATTAAAACTAGTAAAGCCCAAAAATATGCCAATATAAAATCCCTCTCGACCACTCCATCAGTTCTCAGTTATCATGTAAGTACGTTGGAACAGATAATCAGTTTTGTACAATAAATGCACAGCTCCGTGCGTCCCATTTTGTTCGATTAAAATTACGCACCATTATCACAGCTCACAGCAGTCAAGAACGTTCATCGATTTTGCTAATTTTATGTTAGTCAACAAACAGAACAGCGCCCTCTTGCGACTCGACAAGTGTGGCGGTATGCATATGATCGGTCGACCATAACAGTTTTACACCTGTGTAAGTGCGTTCATTTAGGATGATTTCTGTGTGATTTTGGTTAAGGAGTAATTATGATATATTTTTAAATTGTTCTTATGTTTTAATGCATTGTACTTCGAGAGCAATTCTCTTCTCTGAGGGAGGTTACGATCATACAAACCTTCACACTTGTCCTACAAGTCCAACTTACAAATTGTGGGGAGTGTCCCACATTCACAATACATGTTGTTGCTGGCATTGCATTGTGGGATATTTTTGTGAGAATGTGACTATGATTTATGCTCCTTTTTACTTTGCTTGACATGTCCACTCTGCTTCTGTTTTCCCATAAACATTGCGGTTTACACCACCATGACGGTGTAAAGATCGTACTCACCTAGCTCTACTGAGTGGAGCGTTGAATTACGGGTACCCCTCCATACAAACGCTCCACCGATTTGCCATACTTTGGTAGCACTTACACGGTCGTCATGACGGTATGCATTTTGTGCATGCCCTCGCGAGGACAAGGCCCAAAAAAACTGATAAAGAAAATACAAATGAGGAAGACAGTAACCCTGGATAGATCCACACATTCATGACATTCCATAAGACCCCTCAAATTGTTTCAAACAACCGGTAATTTTGAAAAAAGAACAAAATAGTCTGAACTTACCGCTGTCTGCCGAGTTGCACAGTCTATTTCACTGACATGACTGATGCATAATTCATTGCGCGCGTGTGTGACGTCACTATTGAAGAAAAACAAGTTGCGCTTACTCAATAGCTGTTTCATGTAGTCATATGTGCCCCGCGCCGTCTGACTGTGGGTTTTTGGTGCGGGGCACATATCAGTACATGAAACAGTCACTGATTAAGCGCGACTTGTTTTTCTTCAATAGTGACGTCACACACGCGCGCAATGAATTATGCATCAGTCATGTCAGTGAAATAGACTGTGCAACTCGGCAGACACATTTAATTGTGAGCAGTAAGTTCAGACTATTTTGTTCTTTTTTTCAAAATTACCGGTTGTTTGAAACATTTTGAGGGGTCTTATGGAATGTCATGAATGTGTGGATCTATCCAGGGTTACTGTCTTCCTCATTTGTATTTTCTTTATCAGTTTTTTTGGGCCTTGTCCTCGCGAGGGCATGCACAAAATGCATACCGTCATGACGACCGTGTAAGTGCTACCAAAGTATGGCAAATCGGTGGAGCGTTTGTATGGAGGGGTACCCGTAATTCAACGCTCCACTCAGTAGAGCTATACCAAACTAGTTGGCGACATGAAGAACATGCAGGTATGTCATAGATAAAGGGCAGGGTTTTGAATTTTTGACGACATTTGGGGGTAAAATGACGATGACAACGACAAAACGTAATACGAAAATAAAGATGGCGATTGACCGATCATCGCCCGATGTACATGATGTACCGTAAACGCCCAAGGTGCGCCGAATCGCACGGCACCAACTGTAAACCGCGTCGGAAAATTGTAATTTCTACCCAAGAAACTTTTCAAAAATTACAAAAATGGTGTCATAATATTGAGAGAAGCCTGCTTTAGGTTGAAAAAGTCATTTTTGAGTAATAAAAAACACCCTTCACAGGCTTCACTCTAATTTGATTGAAACTAAACAGGGGCCCTACACTACACGATCGCCAACATTAGACATGACTATGGCTATGCAGCTCAAGGCGGTCACAACACAGAACAATAAAAATTTAGAAGAAATTGTAGCAAACCAAATGGTGTTGGAGGATTAGCCCCATTCCCCCCTCCTCCCCTCAAATAAAATTCGCAAAAGAAATAAACATATTTATTAAATAAATTTATAAAAAAAATTAGCTTTTCATTGTACGTAGTGTAGCCATTCATATTTGGAATTTATGTGTGTTTTTTTTCAGGAGCTGAACTTTGATAAAGTTGTGGTCTCGTCTGCTGCTGAAGCATGGGCAATAATGAGAATGCCATCAAATGTATCGCTGTCGTAGCGATCATTGTAGTCGTACTCATTCTTATTCTTGTGCCTTCGTCTTTCCATGGGGTTGAATATTATCAGGTAAAATATCATATGTAGTAAATTAGTTTTCTCCTTTTTCTTTATTTTTAACATATTATCTTTTGGAAAGATTTCCATATACGAAGTTCACTAATTTTCCTCTGTATTGACTAACAAGCCCCCAGATAGCAATTTCATGTCATCAAAGTCAATTTGAGCAGTGAGAAAATACAAGCATTTTCTTAGAAAACACTTAGAATTTTTCAGTCCAATCTCATAGGGTTTGTACACAGGGTGTTGAGTGAACTTCGTATATAAATCTTTCCTATCTTTTTAATATTGTTTTTATTTGTACCTATTGGCTGTTTATGTACCGCACAAATTGCTATTCTACAAAATCAATGTTAAGCAAATATTTAAAATTTGATCTCAAACAGTATTTTGTTAAGGAGCAGGTTTTTCTGTTTGCAGTGCATTGAATAAAACTTGAGAAAGTTTCAGGAATATAAAATGTCATGCGTGTCCTTGTACATGTCTTTTAAAATCCCTGTCATTTTTTGTGTTCTTGCAGTTTGGTTTTACCAGACGGAAATCAACCGGCACCGTGAATACCGACGAAGTCTTTACAACTGGCAACTATTTCATCGGCATTGACTACGAGTTCAAGATCTTTCCAGCCGACGCCCACTTTGTTGATTTGACCTCTGTTGCAGTTTTCACCAGTGATAGATTAGAGGTAAGGTTTGATTGGAAGCTGGATGGACTCAAAATTGAATCCATGAGAATCCTACAAAAACCCAGGTGTTAGATGTGGAAGATTTTGAAATCTTGCCCCTATAGAATCCTTGTTGAAACCTTGAATTCCTGAGATTTTGCCTTAAAGTTGTTTTTACCTGTAAAACTTTATTATTATAGGCAATCCCTCCAGGTCCAGGGAGACATTCTTTACAGCAAAAGATGCCTAAGGTGACACGGTCGATGACTCAAAAGTCCGATCCGTCAGCCACACTTTCTCAGGCAAATGTCACAAGTTGTAGTCGGAGGGAGGGTTATGGTTTGGTTATGGTTATGGTTTATTTTTTTCATATCATAGCACAAACAACATAATAAACAGGAAACTATATAAAGAATGACAAACAATGATACGAGGGATCCAGGTAAAAAGCATATGCTTGTACAAGACCTGGAACCCATAATTACAAATTAAGCTAATAAATTAATGTGTACATACAATAGGCTAAATTCTATCAGGTAAATACACTTATACTAATAAAAATTGAAAAGAAATAAAATTAACAGCAAAAATATTCACATTCGTATGAATATACATAGGCCTACACTGTACTTTCTTACGTCCATACATTACAAGAAATAAATCAATTAATTAATTACAAAACAAGTAAGGGAGGAAGGGGCAAAGAAGCAAAAAGTGGCCAAGGAATTATAAAACAATACTATATTTTTCAACAATCTGTGAGACGGCATGAATATACAATTTATTGGGATACTTAATTATCAGTATAATTTGTCAGTAGCAACGTTTTCATGTAGTTTTTGAAGTTCTTCATTGATCTAAAGATAGGCATTGGTTTGAGGTGGTTCCACAATAGAGGTCTGTATATCTGGAGTTATTCATTATCCTAAGTGTTTTCTTTTGCATAATATACAATTTGGTTGGACCATGAAGCTGTCTTTCTTGTTCCCTCTCCTTTCTCAACTGTCGCTTAGCGGCTGTCTGAGCTAGACGATTGGTCTCAAAGCTGTCGGTGCCTCTCGATCTGTGCACCAGTTGCCTCCATGAGGCTCTGTCTCCTGCCTGGTCCTCCCAGGATGCAGTGTTGATGTTGCACTTCTTAAGCGATGTCTTTAGGGTGTCTTTATAGCATTTTCTTTGCCCTCCGCGAGTCCGGTGTCCTTGGCTCAGTTGGGAGAAGAGTACTTTCTTGGGAAGGTGCTCATGTGACATGCACACACAGTGACCTGACCATCTCAGCTGATGTTTGATAATCAAAGGCTAACTCCAGAGGTCTTTTCTTGCTTAGCAAGTGTGCTAAGCATAACCTAGTCATCGCCAACACCAGTTTCAGACAGAGCAATAAGTATAAGACAACTTAGGTAAAAAAAAAAAGTCTCCGGTTTCTGGTATGCGCGCGCGTCGCCGTAGCCATGTGCGTCGGCAAAATGAAAAAGGTTTTTTTTTCAATACAAGATGATGTCGCAAAACCGCCAAACTCACTGGTTTGACTGGAATCCTGCTGCTGCACAATTTTAACGTGTTTTTAGATGGGGTTATGATCGAGAATAAGCTTTATGTGGCCTCTCTGGACTCCCATATATTTGCACTAAGTTTAGTCGGGCACCATTTGCAGTCATCAGCCAACATTTGAAGCCAAAAAAAAAAAAAAGCCGCGTCGCCGCACCACTTTTGGGGCAAGCTCCATACCAGAATCCGGAGGCTTTTTTTTTTTGCCTTAGAGACACTACCGCTTGAAACACTGGCACCTTCTGGACTTTGTAATTGTTCGGAGACGAGATCTATGATGTTCGCATCACCCGTGTCATGAGAGGTGCGAATGACTGTTGGACTGATCTACTGAAAACTTTAGATACCAGAGGAAGGGGTATTTTAAGGGGTGCCTTTTTCTGGGGTCCTCAGTAACCCTCTGCCAATCATTTCCTGCGCTTTGCTTTTTCCGCTCATCACAAATGTATTGCACAAAGAATGTGTGATGAATGGTACCCCCTACATGTGCACAAACCCATGTATTCTTTGCGGGAGCACCAGGCGTATCGGTGCAGTGCCTTTTAGAGTCCCACCTAACTCTCTCTTTATTACCAAGCGAGGGGGTACTTCTACAAGGAGTCCATGTCGAAATGAAGAGCTTGGCATATATTCTTTGTATTGCATATGGGCAATTCCATGAGAAAGTGGACATGGCTGAAAAGTGAAACATTTGTAAAATCTTCAAAACTACCGGTACAAGCATTACAACCTCACATTCAGTATCAACTTAAATGGGACATACAGACCTTTCCTTTGAATTGTGTGGCAGTGAGATGGAGTATGGTTAAGTATATGGTAGTGGATATTTTGCCGGAGGTAATGACGGCAAACTAACGATTACTAAAGGTTTGCCGGCGGCAATCCATAGCAACAGAGGGCGCTGTACTCTTTAAAATAGGGCTGAATTATAAGATGTATTAAATTCCCACCAAAAGTTGTATAGCACGTTTGGTGTAATGGTTAAGCAAAGGCTCTAGTAAGCAGGATGACTCGCGTTCGATTCCGACCGCACCACATTTTTAAGTTTTTTTTTCTCATCCCCAAATAAATAAGAATATTCTTCTTTTATTATTTTAACATGTCTCAAACATTTTTTGCATTACATTTTCTTTTTCAGATTTGTGGCTCTGGAGGATTTTTTTTAAAAGGGAAATAAAGTCCAAAATTATAAAATGGTCTGAATCCCATCTTGTGAATACGAGGTAACAACGATAATTTTGGCATGGAGCCAGACTAAAACTTGTCACCGGAAAATGTTTAAGTACAAAAAAACAGTAACTGCGCATGTTCAGTGCATATCCGGCAAACTAACGTTTACTAAAGGTTTGCCGTCTCCGGCAAAATATACACTGCCTAAGTATATATCTTATGGATTTTAGGTAGTCATTTTGGTACAGTGGAACGTTGCTATACCGAACACTGCTATACCGAACATTCGGCTATACCGAACACCAGTCTTGGCTCCCAATTTTTGTGTTGTTGGAAATGTCAACAGAAGAGCGAGAAATAGCTATTATTAAAAACTGTGTAATTACATAATTCAAAAGTCGCACGTGTTCGAAGTCGTCTTTCAGTAACAACCAGGGCGTACTTGGTGAAGTTCTGCTACGGAATTGAAAATATTAATGGACAAGTTTGGCGACTCCGCGCGTGGTTTGTAAATGCAACTACACAATATCAATGATCAAAAGAGGGCGCCAAAAATGTGTGAAAATCGCTACACCGAACGATCGCTATTACGAATAATTTCTGTGGATCCCACGATGTTTGTTATAGCGACGTTCCACTGTACCTTGTTTTTACATGCAAAATGCAACTTTTGTTATTGTGAGTTTTTTGTTTTTAGGACAGAGAGAAAGGTTCATAATCTATGCCAAAAGATTTTTTTTTTGTGAGATTAGATTGATATCTTGCGTGTTTTACCTTGTACGGAAGATTGGCGGACAACTGTAACGTAACTGATCAAGATTTTCTGGCAATGCTTTAAAGTGATAAGAGAAATTGAGAAATGTTATATGTCAAAAAAATTGTCAGTAAGTGAACAATTACTGATGTACTATAATTTATTCAGCTGTATCCCATATCAAGATTTGTCCTTTTTTTGTGTAATGTAACTGTTGTGGGATCCGTTCATAACCGATACGCCGTTATCAATTTCTTCCACAGGTCCGGCTTGACTGCACATTCCAGTACTTCTTGCGTCAGGAAGACTTGAAGGATCTTCACGACACTTACGACATCCAGTACAAGGACATCCTGCGCACCAACGCCATCGATGAGCTGAAGGGCGCCACTGTGGACTTCAGCACGCGCGACTTTGGCGACAAACGGGCCGAGATTGAGAACACTCTGTTTGATGCCGTCAGGAAACGGCTGGGAGGAATCTGCTGCAAGCCGGGTTGTAAGAACTCGGCTGAAGGTGGGTGCTCAATATTTCAATGCTTCATATTTTTTTAAGGAATTAATACTCCTTCTCCGGCTGACAGATTGAACAAAGGCCTCTATGTCCGTGACTAGTCTGTTTGCACAAGTACCCCCTCAACGGTAAGAAAGGGAGATTTAGAACAGAGCACTGGGAGAGACATTCAAACGCATTGCTGACAACGCCTGCCGCTCACGCAAAGATGCTATGGCGTTGTGTATATTTAGAATATATTTTGTCGTTCATACTTGGCACCAGATATGCGTGAACCAATATACACATGTGGTGTGTCCTATACAAAAAGTGCCCTCTCTTGTTCTGGCATGGAGCCCATAGAAAGCGATTGAATTTTTTTCTATGACTGTTCAGGCAGCAGTAGGGTTTTTAGCACCTGTACTACATTGTATTACATTGTATTACATTGTATTTAAATTGTATTACATTGTATTACTTCCCTGATGAGTCTATGGAAAAAAATACAGTGCTTGGTTCAGGGAGTAACAGGCAAGGCGGTTACAACGAATGGGTAACTTGATATTTGTTGGCACCTCGGGTATTTACGTCATAGAATGGGGATAACACAGGTGTACACAGTAACTTACTGTAGATAGCCTCACTTTACACAGGCGTTGTTCGGTCAGTGCCGGATTTCATGGAGCAGTTCACCACATACAAGTGCTTCGATAATTTGGGCAATGTGTTCCAAAAATTTCAAGACGATAGATGCTATGAGGAACGATGCTATTCTGAATATACTCAAAGCCATAGCATTTGTTTGAAGGAAACCTTGCAATCTCCCCAAAGTCACCTCTAAAACTAGTTATTGTTGAAAGTAACGCACTTCCTTTTGTTTCGACAGGCTGTGAAGACAGGTGCAAGCCCGTGGAGGACTGCACCAAGGAAGACAAGGGGTTCTTTGCGGACGTCCGCTATTTCCAGTTGGGTTATGTAGACATCCCCAATGACGTCATCAGCCGCAACCTGCAGACTCTGACTCAGCTGGAAGATGGGTTCCGCGAAAAGTACATCCAGGATGCCCAGCTCGCGAGGAAACTCACCGAAGAAATTGTGAGTTGAATTCCTTGAAACAAAACAAGTGCAATCCGTGACGAGTTTAGCCATAGAGTTTGCTTGACTGTGATATGCGGTGTAATGGTTAAGGGGTACAACTAAAGGCGCGATGGTACATTTACCATGTGACCCTGATGGGGCGCAAGATGCTTGTGTTCTTGGGCAGGACACTTTACTACAATCGCCTCTCCCCATCCAGGATTACAAAATTGGAGATCTGTTGAAGGTAGAAACAAGATTGCAGCTACTGCAGACAAAAAAAAAGTAGTCTCCTGGCTTGATGATCAAGGTTATTAATTTTAAAGCGCTTTTTGGGTATAAAGCAGTTTATGAGCACCACATTATGAACTACTTCAAAATGAAGCATTTTGTTTTCATTTTTAAACAGGTGAAAAAAATTGAAAACTCGGCCGAGGAGATTTCCCAGAATGCCACAGCCCAAGCAGCGCTGATCCTCTCCCAGGCGAATGCCGGGGCCCGGGCGATCGTGGAGGGTTCCTTCAACCGCGGCCTGGCCAAGATCTACACGGACCTCAGCATCACGGATCAAGACCAGAAAGCCTCGCTGAATTACATCCGAACGCTGCGGGACCAGGAGAACGCATTCTTGACGGTCAACTTCAATACCCTGGTGACGGGACCGGTCTATAGGGGACAGACATAGAACAGGCCATAGTGGCCACAGTATACCAAAATCTTGTTTCTGGTTTAGTTGGTCAAACAGTGGAACAGTGGCCACAGCAAAAAAAAATGAATTGGTTCTGGTTTTACAACGTATCGTTGAAAGTATGCTTCACTATATTTGGGCATTTGTGACCAAGAGGGGGAGGCCTTCAATAAAAAAAACCTGTCTCCCACCAAATTAAAGTAGGGGTGGAAAACAACTTAGCTTAAACCAGAAACAAGATTGTTTTTTTTAAAGGATTATCGTATCTTTATCCATTTATCACTTCGGCATCTGTCAGCAACTTCATTTTTCAGGCTCATGGATGTGTCTGGCATCCCGATGGTGCATGTACAAAGCTAATGTACTTTCTGAGGTTGCCTGACTCTTCACTGATCCCAAGCATTTCCCTAAATGAACATTTACAATCTGGACAGCTGATTCTGACATTTATGCCAATGTAAACAACAGGGAGGGGAAAAGAGCGCTCACAGATTTGAAGATATAGCAAGCGTCTTTATTTCTACGACCTGGTTATTTTTGAGGGAGCAATACAGTGCTATGATTGAATAATTTGGCTACGGCTAGAATTGCACATAAACCTATGGAAGCCACTGAAGCCGCTTCTCAAAGACCCATGTTTTTAGATACAGCCTAACTTGAGGTCAGGTGATCCTCGGTTTTCATTGTCAATGGAGGGCGCTCTTTCGAAATTAAATCCATCCGGGGACTTTACACGTAAGAAATTTGGAAGATTGTATCGGTCTCTGGAATTGCTAGGATTACAGTAGAATGCCACTATAACAAACATGATGGGGTCCATGAAAAGTATTCATTATAGTGGTTGTTTGTTATAGTGATTGTACATTATGATAGAATTTGATATTTCAGGAGCCGAAAGGGGTGTTCGTTATAGTGGCGTTTTACTGTATATGATCCGCTTGAAAAAAATATGAAGAGCAGCTGCAATTTGTAGAGCATTTATCCACCCACCAATGACCTTTTTTTCTATGAACTGTGTAATTACTTGCAATGTACTCGTCTATAGTTTTTTCAAAGATTTTTCTACCGAGTCTTCAGTGCCACTAAGAACACCCGTTCAGGCAACTGTAAGTTAGTTTTGTAACGCGGGTAGAAAATTTGTCAGTTTGTGATTGGCAGTTTAGATTTCAGCTATAATTGTAAATGGTATTCTGATTCAGTTTTGGTAAATCAAAAGGTTTTTCCATTACGAAGCTTTCAGCTTTACTGTATTGGTTTGTGCTGGTCCCAGAGAGCCGGCCTATTGTCCTCTATGTACCTATCTCACTGACTGACTGACTGACTGTCGCTTGTCAGCTGGGCAGTTCTATCTTATAGGGTTACCCCGTAACACTAATGAATAGGCAAAATCCAGCCCTTGAGTAGACCAGATACGTCAAAACATCCAGTGAGTAGCCATTTTGAATCGACTGAATAGAATGTATGCACTCTGGGGCCAGCTCTACTAGGCTTGCTTTGTCCTTTTCCCCTTTTGAGGAAAAACTGGGCATTTCTTTTTGACCTTTTTCAAAATGTGTTCAGCATTTATTCAAATTCATGTTTTTATTCAGTGCTTTATCCCACGTACTAGTTGACATAGTTTAAAGAAATAATTCCTCGTTTATATTTTATATATTACAAGGACTTTGAAATCCTTAATCCTGATTGTATCATTCAATAATGTGTAATTCATTCATATTTTCATAGGTATTCTCATGATGGGGTCATAATTAGTACATATTTACTCAGGTTTTTTCTTTTTCATTTTAAGAAACTACTAAGTTAGAATGTATATACTTTTGATGAGTTTTGTAACTACTAGTCCTAATTGTTAATACATAATCAATTTAAATTCTAAATAATTTAACACATGCTTCATTGAAATGGTGTGAAATACACTACTGTATATACTTTATTCACAACTTGGCCATATTAGACTTCAGTTACCTGTCGTTAATAATTAATTTCCAGCGCCTGGAGTACCTAATTGTTGGTATATATGTGCGCAATAAGACTCCGGTATTATTATTATTATTATTAAATTGAGAGCGAGGTAAAGTTCATTACAAATTAATATTACCAGTCTGCTCTGATGAATAGTTTAAAATTTGTGAGTAAACATACCGTTTTGAACCACATTTAAAAAAAAAAAAAATTAAAGTGAGGCTTGGAACGCACTCTAATCATACAATAGGCTGGCACCATCCATTCAAAATTCAACAGTTTACAGCTTATGGAAGGGATTCAGGGAACATGATCAAAAATGGCTTCCTTGTGAATAAGGTGTATTGTATAAAGTAAACAATTTTGAGGCAATATTTTCATAAACCTGGGTAAAATTATTTGGTCAATGTCCTACAACCCCTCCTGTTATACAGGGTGGATAAAAAAAAACCTTAACGAGATATTATTGTTAATTGGAACAGAAGTAGGGCACATGTGAATCAAAGGGAGATATCCTCTGTTAGGGTCGAATCTCCTCTTTAAAATGACACCCTGGTCATGTCATTACATAAACGGTTGACTGAGCAGTGAGCTATTTTATGAAAGGGTCTATTTAGAGAATTGCGCCACTTTTCATGGTGCAATCGCTTTTTTCCCCCACCTGCCTTGATTGGCAACCAATAGCCTTTCACTCTGTGACAAATGACACAACAAAAACCACAATTGAAAAGTGGCACACTTCTCTTAATTAAATTGACCCTTTCATAAAATCACTGCTCAGTCAACAGTGAATGTAATGACATGACCAGGGTGTCATTTTAAAGAGGAGATTTAACCCTAACAGAGGATATCTCCCTTTGATTCGCATGTGCCCTACTTCTGTTCCAATTAGCAATATCTCAGTTTCGTTTTTTTTCCCGTATACATGTAGTCCTGTCTTTATTCTAGTACTTTGGATACCTTCAAGTTTTCAGCTCTTCTGCGAAAAGTTTGATGTGTTTGCAACACTTTTTTTCTAATTTTGATTATTGTCAATAGTTCACCCTTTGTAGTTTACTTATAAGTGGGCTGTTTATTTTATTCTTTTTTTTTGTCTCCATAACATAATTTGTGTATCATGTTGAGATTTGTAATTATTCAGGGAAAATAAGCGTGAAGTGTATTAAACGTCATAGCTTGTAGTAAACAAAAAGATTTTTTTCCCTCTTTACAGCAAAGTCAATCTCAAAAAAAGTAAACAAACAAAAGTAAAATGAGGCTTTGCCAGCATCTCGGGAAAAGCCAAAGAATTACAGACATGAAACAGTTGTAGTATATCATATCATTGTCATTTAATTTCGTTTTCTCTTTCTTGTCACCCCTGATTTTTTTACATGTATCATACACTTTGTGAACAAGCACTTAAAGATGTGTCAACACAAAGAATACAGAAATATTCTTGTGAACTAACCAATCCAAATGTCAATTCATGTGAAGTATAAAACACAAACACACCAACCAATACAAAACACCTTTGTAAATTGGACGATGCAATCCGTCTTGCTCTTGGAAGAATATTGCACTTAAACAAAAAAATGAAAGTCACTTTCCATAACCTAGAATGAAAACAAAATTTCAAAGTCTTCTAAGTGTTTTTATGGGAGAGGTTTTGTAAGGGGTTAACCTTGCATTTTGGGCGAATTAGGCAAAATCCAACTTTCTGAAAAATTTCAACTTGTGAGGGGTAAACCTTGCATTTTGAGCAAAATTGGGCAAAATCCGACTTTTCTGACAATTTCCATTTGTAAGGGTTTAACTTTGCATTTTGAGCGAAATTGGGCAAAATAAGACGTTTATGAACTATTTCGGATTGTAAGGGGTTAACATTGCATTTTGAGCAAATTGGGCAAAATAAGACTTTTTTGAAAATTTTCGAATTGTAAGGGGTTAACCTTGCATTTTTAGCAAATTTGGGCAAAATCTGACGTTTATGAAAAATGTCAATTTGTAAGGGGTAAACCTTGCATTTTGAGCGAAATTGGGCAAAATCAGACGTCTATGAAAAATTTCAATTTGTAAGGGGTTAACCTTGCATTTTGAGCGAAATTGGGCAAAATAAGACGTTTATGAAAAGTTCGGATTGTAAGGGGTAAACTTTGCATTTTGAGCGAAATTGGGGCAAATCAGACGTTGATGCAAAATTTCAGATTGTAAGGGGTAAACCTTGCATTTGTAGCGAAATTAGGCAAAATCAAATGTTTATGCAAAATTTCAATTTGTAAGGGGTAAACCTTGCATTTGTAGCAAAATTGGACAAAACAAACGTTTATGCAAACTTTTCAATTCGTAACGGGGCTAACCTTGCATTTTGAGCGAAACTGGGCAAAATCAGACGTCTATGAAAAGTTTCAATTTGTAAGGGGTTAACCTTGCATTTTGAGCGAAATTGGGCAAAATAAGACGTTTATGAAAATTTCAGATTGTAAGGGGTAAACCTTGCATTTGTAGCGAAATTAGGCAAAATCAAACGTTTATGCAAAATTTCAATTTGTAAGGGGTAAACCTTGCATTTGTAGCGAAATTAGGCAAAAACAAACGTTTATGCAAACTTTTCAATTTGTAAGGGGCTAACCTTGCATTTTGAGTGAAATTGGGCAAAATCAGACGTTTATGAAAAGTTTCAATTTGAAAGGGGTTAACCTTGCATTATGAGCGAAATTGGGCAGAATCAGACGTTGATGCAAAATTTCAGATTGTAAGGGGTGAACCTTGCATTTGTAGCGAAATTGGGCAAAATCAAACGTTTATGCAAAATTTCAATTTGTAAGGGGCTAAGCTTGCATTTTGAGCGAAATTGGGGCAAATCAGACGTTTATGCAAAATTTCAATTTGTAAGGGGTAAACCTTGCATTTGTAGCGAAATTGGGCAAAAACAAACGTTTATGCAAACTTTTCAATTTGTTAGGGGCTAACCTTGCATTTTGAGTGAAATTGGGCAAAATCACACGTTTATGAAAAGTTTCGATTTGTAAGGGGTTAACCTTGCATTTTGAGCGAAATTGGGCAAAATCAGACGTTTATGCAAAATTGTAGATTGTAAGGGGTCAACCTTGCATTTTGATTAAAATTTGGCAAAATCAGACGTTTTTGAATATTTTCGAATTGTAAGGGGTTAACCTTGCATTTTTAGCAAATTTGGGCAAAATCAGACGTGTATGAAAAATTTAAATTTGTAAGGGGTAAACCGTGCATTTGTATGCGCAAAGGTACTGAGCATGTACATGCAGTTTTGCAACAATGAAAATAAAAACATTATAGCGGGATTGAATTTTGTATTTTCGAGCAATTTTAAAAATTAATTTCGAACGATTACAATACAAGCTCTCAGTATAACAAATTAACCATTCTTTCAAATGTCCTCCTATAGAAAAGAAAGAAAATAAAACAAAAAGTTATGTGGCGATGGCCAAGTCTTCAGGAGTTGGACTTATGACCCTAACTCAATGAGCCCCTTACCGACTTCCATATAGAACTCTTCTGGGACTCGGTACCCGGCCCACCACACCTCCTTCCCTGTCCATCCATGTAACTCGAAAGTCAGGCACCATAAAGGGAGGAAACGAGGTGGCACCCTAAGCCTTGCTGCCGAGTCAGCAAAAGAACCCCGTACCTATACGCAGATGCCAACCTGGACTTCGCAGACAGTCCCAACTTGTGAGTCAGCTTACCGACCGACCGAGCTAACTGCTGTTGGTAAATGATGACGGGAAATTAATGCTCTTAAATGACAGAACCGCGGTCATCGAAAACCACAAAAATGACACCAAGTGGGTTCGAACCCCTTACCCTGGAACCGCTGTCAGACAGCTTAACAACTAGGCTGTTTCAGTAGGTGCTTTTCTCTTTGCGTTTAAAACATAATCCTTATTTCCGCAGTGGGAGAGTTACTTTGTGTTTCAAAGCTGCACGGAAGATGCATCAGCATCGTGCTATACGCATGAATGCTGTTACGTAACTCTTTTCTACAATCATTCTTTAATATGTACCGAGCAATTGACTATTCAGAGTCACAACGAGCAATTAACCTTACCAAGCTCGTCCTTATTCTGTCTCATCAATAATTGTTTCGCGTAGCGCGTCTTTCGGCCGGCACTGACATGTCGCTATGATTGAGAGAAATTCTAGCAAGTTTCCCCTACCCCTAAGTTTGTCTGATTCTAATTCAGCTCCCTTAGCTAGCTTGGAAAAATTCATCTTTTCTTGTACTTATTCTAAGTCTAGGAAATGATGCCACTATAATACAATGTCACATTAACGTCAGCCGGTGGCATGATTAGAATCGTGACCACGCGAGTGCAATGACGGCCAGTGGCGTAAATCTGTGCTGGCGAGTGGGGGGGGGGGGGGGTCACAGTGCAGAGCGCCACAAAGAGTTTGCCATGGAGAGTCAGTTTTTCAAATTACGGTCGACAAAACAAGGCCCATTTGAATGAGTGTCAGTAAACAACTTTAGCTAAGTGGTTTTTCGGATATAGCGTTCTGCCGCCTTACTAAAAACACCATATTGATACAAATAAAATAAAACGGCAAATTTATACTCGAATCATACGCTTACGAAACTACAGACCGGAAAAAAAACTAACAATTTCAAATGTCGAACGCGCTGCGAATTTGTCGACCATCTCTCACAAGGCACTAGGAAAAAAAGAACTCTCCGTGGTAAACTCTTGGTGGCACATGAAACGCCCGAATTACCCGGCCGTGGACATTCGAAAAAAAAAGGGGGGGGGGGGTGGACACCACATTATACTGGGACGCTCTTGATCAATTATGTATACTCGCGCTTACATTCTTAAAAGCTTTTGTACTTTGTACTTTACACTTTCCATTGCTATTGAACACACTTCAGTTGCTGGGACGTTCGAAAAATACCTTAAAGTCCCCTTTATTTCTCTCATCACAAAAAAGTGGGGGATGATTCAATAGCCCATCCCCGCGTTCAAAAAGTGTGGGGGGTATATACCCTCACCCAACCCCACCTAGGTAATTACGCCCCTGATGATGGGGCACGGAGCAAACGAGCCTGCCACTCACTTGATCTTTTTTTGTGTACGGGTTGCCATACGCCTTGACTCAAGACTACGGTCACGAAAAGGCCTTTGACTTGAGATTTAATTTGTAAGGGGTAAACCGTGCATTTGTAGCGAAATTGGGCAAAAACAAACGTTTATACAAACTGTTAAATTCGTAACGGGGCTAACCTTGCATTTTGAGCGAAATTTGGCAAAATCTGACGTCTATGAAAAGTTTCAATTTGTAAGGGGTTAACCTTGCATTTTGAGCGAAATTGGGCAAAATAAGACGTTTATGAAAAAGTTCGGATTGTAAGGGGTTAACTTTGCATTTTGAGCGAAATTTGGCAAAAACAAACGTTTATGCAAAATTTCAATTTGTAAGGGTTTATCTTTGCATTTTGAGCGAAATTGGGCAAAATAAGACGTTTATGAACTATTTCGGATTGTAAGGGGTAAACCTTGCATTTTGAGCGAAATTGGGCAAAATCAGACGTTTTTGAAAATTTTCGAATTGTAAGGGGTTAACCTTGCATTTTTAGCAAATTTGGGCAAAATCAGACGTTTATGAAAAAGTTCGGATTGTAAGGGGTTAAGCTTGCATTTTGAGCGAAATTGGGCAAAATAAGACGTTTACGAAAAGTTCGGATTGTAAGGGGTAAACTTTGCATTTTGAGCGAAATTGGGCAAAATAAGACGTTTATGCAAAATTTCGGATTGTAAGGGGTCAACCTTGCATTTTGATTGAAATTTGGCAAAATCAGACGTTTTTGAAAATTTTCGAATTGTAAGGGGTTAACCTTGCATTTTGAGCGAAACTGGGCAAAATAAGACGTTTATGAAAAATTTCCTATTGTAAGGGGTTAGCCTTGCATTTTTAGCTACATTGGGCAAAATCAGACGTTTATACATTTTAGCGAAATCAGGAAAAGGAAGCATAAAGTGTATTAATCGTCATAGTTTGTAGTAAACAAAAAAAGATTATTTGTATATATTTGTTTTCAATTTTTCCCCTCTACAGCAAAGTCAATTTCAAAAACCAAGTAAACAAACAAATGAGTAAAAATGAGGCTAGCATCTCGGGAAAAGCCAAAGAATTACAGACATGAAACAGTTTAGTATATCATATCATTGTCATTTAATTTCGTTTTCTCTTTCTTGTCATCCCTGATTTTTTGACATGTATCATACACTTTGTGAACGAAGCACTTAAAGATGTGTCAACACAAAGAATACAGAAGTATTCTTGTGAACTAACCAATCCAAATGTCAATTCATGTGAAGTATAAAACACAAACACACCAACCAATACAAAACACCTTTGTAAATTGGACGATGCAATTCGCCTTGCTCTTGGAAGAATATTGCACTTAAACAAAAAAATGAAAGTCACTTTCCATAACCTCGATGGAAAACAAAATTTCAAAGTCTTCTAACTTTCTTTTATGGGAGAGGTATCAAAGCTCGTGATTTCATACAAAATATCTGCATATGAGAAGTAGTGTCTTATAAAAACAAACTGGCAAAATGTTTTTGTTACCAAAATATTCAACTTTTAGCATAGCTTCTTTTATGCATAAGTTATTGTCGTCTGGTAATAAGTCTCGTACAATTGGGAATGAAGCAAAGAGCATAGCTACAGAGATTGGTCAGGTAAAAAAAGCTGACATGTATATCAAAAGTTTATAAAAATGGAAGAGTCACAGGTATTTGTACCATTGAACACTCGGACGTCAGTTTCAAGGGGGAAAGAAAGGTGGTTCTTTCATCTGCAGAAGCACCGTCTTTGCATAAGGGTCGTGTTTGCAAAAATCAGCAAAACAAATTAAGCCAGGCAATTATCTCTGATAAAATGGTACTTTTGTACAAAAAAAACTCTGGCATTAGTGGGATTGATGTACTCTTAATTTGGAGGTTGGTTGACCTCTCATATGAGTGGTATTTTGGTAATGATGTAGCTTTGGTTGAAAAACCAGGCTTTCATTTTGTGACTTGAAATATCTGGAATCATATAAAAATATGTATTTGCCCCATATTCTAGACATTATCACTTTGTTAAGTTCTGGCTTAAATCTTCCAACCTTTATTTTCATTTAGTTTTCAAAACAAGCCCTTCGTGGACCCATTCAAAAATGTAAAATCTTGGGGCATACAAAGCTAACACACAGGTAAGTTTTTAAACAAGCTTTTGATATTCTCAAAAGCGATTCTTTCAATACCTACATAATGCCACAAAACTTTCTTCAATCACTTTGACAAAACTGACCAATATTGTGGAGTGTGTCAATTAATTACTGTTTTGCATAACGTGTAACCTATAGGTGTACAAAATTTACTTTGTATTTCTATGTAATGTACATGTAATCCGAATACTGCCTCTAAACAGTTTAACTTTTTTTTTTGAACAAAATATCCCTTTCTACATTTGTACAAAAATCTGCCAACTTTCTTGATGGTCTATCAAGCGTGACGACTGCGAGTGAGTTCCCAAATAAATAAGTTCCATCATAGACTGGCGGCAAGTCTAAATGAGTAAGAAGTAGCCTGAAATTTCAATAACACAATTCATAAGTAGTTTTTTAAGACAACTTCCCAAATATGACTTCACAATTTAAATTATAAAGAATCGCAAATGAAATTAAAAGGAATCTGATATCAAAGGTCAATGAGGTTTTGCAACAGTGACAACTTCGGGATATTACGATGCATTTTTACTTTTTGGGTAAATTGAGAGAAGAAAAAAATCACTGTTCCTAATCTGCGTAAACTGAATATTTATGAATAGAGTTGCCACCAGTCTAATGAAGAATGGTTTCCCGGGGGAAATGTCATGGAGTATTAGCAGAAAATGCTGTTAAGCAAGTTAACGTGCTAAGCGAAATTCAACAGAGTACCAGTCACAACCAATACACATAACATACAATCTTGGCTGGTACCCTATAGCTTAGCAAAGCTTTTCAACGCTTTAGTAGATCCATGAAATTGTCCCAAGATCGCATTTTTGTTTCCAACACAAAACCACTCTTTTACCCAAAGACAGCAATATCGTGCACAACACGGAGGACCTTGTTTGTCCGCATGTCAGTAAAACGTAAGTCATACATACAGCACACTGTGCATAAATCATATCTTGGAATTTACAAATATATACAAAAGTTAAATAACACGAGCTTCAGGACATAGCTTAATACACGCCACTGGCAAAATAAATAAATGAGCACAAATGTTCCCCAAAAAATGTGAATTAAGATGGCGCGTGACTTACATAATGCTTCATTATGGCATAACAGAGGTAGCTTGGCAACATGCATGTTTGGTAGATTTTTTCATGCCTTACTGTTTTTGCATATCAAGTTTGAATTCTTAACATTTAAAAAAAAACCTGTAAAAAGCTTCATTTAGTGAAGTTTTAATGCCCATGATAAGCTGCTACAAATGAAGGCGGTAGAACAAATTGTGAATTCAGTCCGACAACACGTGGCAGAAAATATTGCTTAGGAAAAATTCATGTGATGAACAAAACAATGGCTGGTGACCGGTCATAAGCAATTCACATTATGTGGCATTTTTTGGCCGGTACCCTGCATCTGCTAAGCAGATTCTGTGCTTAAGCAATTTGTGCTAACCAGCTCCATGCAACTAGCCCCATTCATTTTGTTACTTTCATTCGCTGTCATGCTCAAACACCATTTTGACATCGATCTTTATGTCAGTTTGACATGGTTTCCGAAGACTACATCTTAAGGTGCAATTCAAAATTATCAATGTTTGTAAATTTAAAAATTGGTTTTTTTTTCGAAAATGTAGGTTGGGTGGGTCAAATAACTGAAAAATACAAATTCACTTTGCCAAAAAAAAAAAAAGAAAAAAAAAAAGCTCTTTCAACAAACCGTTACTGAATCAGGCATACATGTATTTGGATTATTTTGAATAGCAAGTCAATTTTTTTAGATCGAAAATTGGGGTGGGTGGATGGGTAAACAACAATTGGGGGAATATTTTTTTTCGAAATTTAGAAACATTGATAATGTTGAATGGCCCCTAACATCACAGAATGTGATTCCAATCGAAAACACAAATTGTTCAAGTATTGTTTGCATCTCACTGGTTGTACAGTTGTTGGAATAAACTTGGTTTACAATAAAATAAATAAGAGATACAGATTTGGCCCACAGAATACTAAATTTGTGATTGCACATGTAAGCAGCAAGTTTAGGAGTGGCTTCTTCGTTTATACCACTACTCGCTAATATAGAGTAAGAATACTGTTTCTAAATTTCATGCTACACGTGTGCACAATGGACCGATCCATTGAGCTCCGCCCATGATGTTTCAGACCAATCATAGCAGTGGTCGTGCTCGGTGGGTGGGGCTCAGCGGATCAGTCTATTGAGCACAGAGGTAGTATTTAACACATCAGGCATGACACTGGAATGAAAAAACCTCAAGGGCAAAAAAAAAATATGTTGGAACTTGGAAGGCAACCAACTTTTGAAAACCTGATTTTTACATGTTCAGAAAATGTTGTGGATTTGAAAACGTATGCAGTATGCAAATTTTCCTTCGGTCATGATCCTGTTCACCCTCAAAACAAATTGAATAAACTATTATAAAATCCCAAAGGTCAAAGGCTGTTTGAGGCATTCAAAAAATCTTTTGGGGAAAAAAGGGAGATTTTTTCCAGCTTTTTCCAGCTGTTATAGCATTAACCTGAGCATAGCTAGGCACACATTCAGAGAGGTACATACATTAAGTGGACATTTGAATACCATGTAATAGGCATACTGACAAAGTTGCATCCAGATTAATACTCATTCTTCACTGAAGAAATAAACGAGAACATTCTCAGAGAAGCGGACTAGTTTTTTACAAAATTTGAATGCTCACACGAAATCATAACCCTAAACTTTCTCCAAGTCCTCTTCTCTAGTCACTACATTCACTGGACATTCTCCTGCTTATGTTTAAAAGCTGTGACAATGTGTAAACATGTTTGTTTCAAATTCAACATCAACTATGTAAAAAAATGTTTGCTTTGCCATGCACAGTGCAAAAGTAACCAGCACGGTAACTCAAAATACACACGATTTTGCATAAAATGCAGTTTTTGCTAAGCGAAGTTATTTATTGCAAGCTCGAGTGTTTCTGCTTAGTGAGCTCGATGAGATTTCTCCAGCTAGTATCTTGGTTAATTCCTTCAGGATATATCTTGATTATTTCCTTTGGCAGAGTTGACATCACAAGTCATCGGAAGACAATCACAGGACGATCGCCATCCAGTCTCAAGTCAAGTCACAAGCTATTAAAGAAAAGGTGAGAAAGACATTTCTCTGCCGTTGCTTGCTCCCTGTTCCATTGGGGAATTGACTTGTGGCTCAACTTGTGATTTGAGTTCTGATTGACTTGTGATTGACATTCGGTTGCTTGTGACTTGACTTGTGATTTGAATTGTGATTGACTTGCGTTCAACTCGTGATCGACTCGTAATCGATTTGTGATTTCACTTGTGATTTGACTTGTATTTGACTAGTGATCAACTTGTGGTTGACTGTTAACTGCTTTACGATTGACTTGTGATCCATCTGTGATTGGCCTGTTTACAGCGCTGCTCTTCAGTCATGTAGCGACAGACTCGGCGTTGACGAGGATTGACTGTAGCAGGAGACGTCGTCGCTGACCGACAGACTCTCCTCAAGCTGACCAAAGGCCGACCCCTGGTGGCGCTGCTGGTCATGGCTGTGATTGGACAGGGCCACCACGTTCTCCTCCAATGACAACTGCAGGTTGTTGGTATTATTCTGTGCATGGAGAGAAAACAAAAATGGATGCGGAAGTTGAGATGTGTCATTCACAGGCGCAAAAATTGCCAAGTTGACAACATCTTCATTAGCATTGGCATTCTGAAATACTGTGCACAGAACCCATGATCCTTAAGATGCAGTGATTGTAACCGCACAAGAATTTCAGCTGTACTTACATTCATCTGAGCCCCCGTTGGTGTGTCCAGCTTCGCCCCTTCTCCCTTCAAGAAGCCAAAACTGGACAGTGCCTCCTTCTCCTTGTCGCCAAACCGCATGTACAACGCTCGCAGATCCAGCTGCAAGATAGAGACATGGCAGTAGCTAGCCTGAGAACGGACTACATGACGCTTCCAACCTGATGCTATTTGGAGATAAAAAAAAAAAAATAAAACAAAAATGGAGTACTTTATCTTGACAATTTAAAGGGACAAACATTTTATGTTTGGATAGTTTACTTATCCTATTTCAAAGGTCTGGTTGAAAGGAAACTAACTTAATGTCTTACCGTTCCCGAGAAAAGCAAAAAAAAAACCTGGTTTGTATACATCGGACGCAGTGGATATTTTGTGGCATACGCATACCTATATCCAGCCGTTTTCATTCAATGTACGATACACGTTGTGCGTGTGTGTGTGACATAATACACACAGCACCAATACACAAATGTTGTTCCTCGCACGTCCGAAGAATGTGATACACTGTGTGGTAGGATTCTAGCACTCAACAGCTTGATTTTTGAGAGTCAAACTTTGGACCCTTTTAAAGCATGGTTATGTAGACATTTATACTTTTAAATACTCTTTCCAATTAACATCATTTCTTTTAAAACATGTTTTGTAGCCCAATTTGGCGCATTCCAGGACGTAATGTCCCTTTAATAAAAGCCAATATGCAGCTAGATTGATCAACAACTAAGCTGTCAGAATGGGCAAAATGAAGTGTTGTGTTCGAGAAGAAAGTCCACCTCAAGTAACAGGTGATTAACAGTAACAAAGGAATACTTCAGTCACAGTTTATTTGGATAGCTTGCGTCTGGACTAGAGACTCAAGGACTTGTGATGGTCTCAACTACAAAACTAGAAAAATGTGGCAATGATTTACAAGTTCCTCATCAGGGATGACTGTGAGAGGATGTATTCAGACTCTTACCTCTGTCTCCTCCTAGGAGTTTAAGGAACTGTTTCTCATCGGGATGACTGTCAGAGGATGTGTCGAGACTCTCTCTTCCTTCCTCATCATCGTCGTCTGTCTCGCTCTCAAACAAGGAGTCCAGGAGATTAGCCCTCTCCTTTAAGGAGAAAAAGCAAAATCAATCAGGGCATGATTACATCATTGATGAAGTTGACAACAGTGGTGACGATTATAAGGTGATAGTGACGTGGTGATGATAGTCATAATGATGGTAATGTATTACAGACACGATTAAACGATGGAAGGAATGGAGATTTCAACATGAGGTTGTATCTTACCTTCTCGCTTAGCTGAGCCGAGTTCTCCCTCGCATCCTCTGATCCTTCATCACATAGTTCCTCAGCATCAAAGTCTTCCATCATGTCTTCGTTGACCAGCGGCACCTTATACGCCTTCCCCGGCTTTCCAGTCTCCTCCTTCCCACCTTCTGTTGATTCTTTCGTCCGTAGGCTCCTCTCTAAGCTGCCCTTGTTGTTGCTGTTGAGCTGCTGAGACCACGTCTTGGGGGTCAGTTGCTGGCAGTCGGAGTCGCTGCATAGGCGACCCTGCTCAATGTCATGAATCAGTTTCTGGTTGGCAGCATCGAGCGGGGGTATTGGGGGGTTCCGACTGGCGTTGGATTGGTCGTTTCTTTCCCAGACATTGTTCACTGTGAGTTTGACGTGGTCGTCAGCGCTGGAGGCCTCAGTTGTGCCAACATCGTTACCCGACTTGTGAGGATGAGAACAATCACTGTCACAGGGTTCCCCGTTGGAACACAAGTTGCACTTTTCACAACCCGACCCCTTCACTGGACTTGATCCAGTGTCATCAATGTAAGGCATTTCCACACTGGTAAATCTCGAGTCGACAGGCTTCTGAGCATTTGTGCTTCCATCGGATTGGGGAGGCGGCCTTCCTCTGCGGATATCGCGTCGCATCCATGCTTGTGGATTAAAACCTCCCACCTCCTCAGTTTTTGTGTGTGGTTCACTCGGCACGTTGCATGTCATCTGGATTTTATGATCGTCCAGAATTGATTTCTTACTGATGCCCTTTGGAGCCTTCTTCTTGTTAGGGGTCTCTGATTTCTGACTCTTGAAGCTGTTCCTGATGAGTTTGGGGATGCGACTTCGCCCTTTAGGCTCCCTCTTCTTGACTTGACTGGTGTTGTTGGAATCCTCCTTCACACAATCTTCAGCTGGTTGCTTCTGTTGTTCGGTCTTTCTGGATGACTGCCCCTTATAAAATTCAAAGTTCTTCTCATTGATAGCTTTCGGGATTCCTGACAAGGAGCTCTTGCGTTTTGTTTCTTTCGACTTTGACTTCACTTGTTTGGATGCTGGTGATGGCGTTTTCACCGTCTGTTTAGGTGCTTTTGGACTCTTTGGGTTGCTCTTGGTGGACAGGGAGAGGAATTGTGAAGATTTTGACGGCAGTGAGTTACACTTGGCTCTTGTGCTTGGACTGATCTGTCGTTTTGTGATGCCCATTTTGGGAGTCTTCTTCTTGTCCTTCAGGCCCGAGTCCAGACTGATACAGCTCTTGCCAAACTCATCACTGGAGATCTCCGTCATGATGCTGGACACAAAGTCCGCCATCAAGGAGTTCTCTCCAAGGCTGCTGTTGTCGCTGCTACCCGAGGTCCTGCTCCGATCACCTCCGCTGCCTTTCCTGCACACAGGAGCCATGTGTCTCTTCAAGGAGCCATTGGTCTTGGTGGCAGGCGCCGACTTGGAGCTGCAGAGAGTAGCTTTGGAATCCTCCGTTTTGGACTCTGCATTCTTGACGGAGCTACTCCTGACTGGTTCCTTTCTGCCGTTGGTCTTGGAGGGTCTATTGAGACTGGTTGGTGGTGAGATCTTGTCGAGAGGGTAGTTGAGGATCCACTGCTCGCTGGATGTGGAGGAAGTCAGGCTGTCGGGCCTCTCCAAAGATCTTGAAGTGCTTGACAGAGACTCTTGCATCTGCAATCAGAGAAGACCCATTTGCTTTAAAAAAAAAAAAACTTTGTCCAACACAACTGTATCAACCGATAATATAGAGAAAACAAATGCATCCATCACAACACTCTCCAAGATCCTCCAAAATCCACTGAGTACGACCCAAACAGTATCATAAACACAAGGCTTGATTTGGGAATCAGGCGGAGTAAGGAGGGTTTTCAGCAAAATTAAGGAGTTAGGGTCAGTGACACCTGATTAGCTAAATCAGTTGGAGAACAGGGATATGACCCGTGTCTCTAATGTACCTTATAATCCAGACACAATGACCTCATGGAGAGGTGCCAAATTGTCCGATAACGAGTCATCCATTTGTGGTGTCCACACACTCTCTGCAACAGAGTAGCGACACACCCAATGTAAACTTTGACACCATTTAGCAACATTTGTTACCCGCGTTTTACCGATCGAAATGCACCTATTGAAGAAAACTTTAACATATAATGCACACCATAAACCCTTTGATTATCACATTGTGATTTGACGCAGCCCCCTTGTCACAGCTATACAGGACATAACTGCCAACGACACACCATTCCCAGGGGGTATTAAGTTCATCTTGACAGCTGCATAATAACATGCAATTGGTTCTTACTTTCTTCTTGTAGTCTTCCACACTCTTCCTGGGGTTCCAGTCAGGTAGCTTTATTGGGGAAGAGTTGCGTGCCTTCCACATCTCCACAAAGTTGACGTTCTCCTCCTCATCGTCACTGTCTGAGCCACTCCACAGAATCTCGCTCTGTAAATGCAAACAAGAACAGTTCATCAGCGCTCACTAAAATTCGTGAGCAGTCTAAAATCCACTTATGTGTTCTTATGCATCCTCCCAATTACTAGGCCACAGCCGGCAGTGATGCACCCACCTATGGGTAGAGGATTGAGCTGCCCCGACACATGTATATATGTGTACGTGTTCATCTTTTCAAACCGAGGATGAAAAATACCAGAGAACAAAAGAGAACAATGTCGTCCACGATTCCCAGCATACGTCCGCGATTGGGGTCGTGTACAAAACCTATGGGAGTCTTTCTAAAAAGAGTACAAACAAAAGAGGGACAATAAGACGTCCACGATCGACGGTGAACACACGTTTGCGTGATTGTCGGCCACGGCCAAGGCGAGACTTTACTTGGCTCAGTTTGGAAGTAATTGATATCCTTCGAAAGCTAGTTTTCTGTGATTTGCCTAAGACGAACTTTAGATATACACACGTCGCATACCCACGGGCCCCTCCCCAAAAAATCATCCAAAACTGGACGAAAAATATATAAAAACACATTTAACCCGGAGGTTGCGATAACGACAAGGCGGTCTTGAAAGCTAGAGGCTGTTATGTACGGACAGCCGGACAGCTGTAATTGTACATACATATTACATCGTACATGCACATAAGTATGGACGTATAGGGTAAAACGCAGCAAGGGTAAGATTGACCGTAATGTACGCAGAGGCGCATGGGTTGTAAATGCATGGACAGTACGGTGGTTTGTTTGCCGTTGTTCGTGTGCGTGTCCGGGTCTCTCCCGCCAACAAATAACCACGACCGCCTTGGAAAAGGCTGACAGTGCACAAGGAAAATGACAAAGAGTATACAGCAATACACACAAATAAAGAAAACAATCTGAAACCTGATTTGTAATAGGTACATTTTAAACAGACCTACAGAGATGGACAAACAGACATACCAATGGTGTTGCTGGCTTCTTTGGTGCTGCTCCATTCCTGATTGGACTCCCCCACTCCACCGAGCCCTCTGATTGGTTGGATTGCAGCGACTCATACGAGAGACTGTGCTGGCATGCCGGATCACTCACCACCCTCCTCTGACTGTCCAGGTGATGCAATGAAGCTGATTGGTTCCTTCCGGGTTGCCGTGGCGATGAACCAAGGGTTCCAATGTGGAATGGGCTGTGTCTCTTGCTGGTGTCTGTCTCAGACTTTTCGGCCGTTAGTTTCCCAAGGGGACTCTCCTCGATGTTGCAGGCTCCCTCTGGGACTGTAACGGCACTGTTTGTTTGCTGACAAGGGGTTGATGTGTAAAGTGTTCTGCTGATCCTAGAGGGTCTAACATTTGGCACTTCTTGTTCCTTTATGGCATCGGAGTATTGAGCATGGTTCAATTGACTCCGAGCCTTAGGTGTGTTGGCCACATCTACAGATGTATTGAATCCACGAATTGGTAGTTCATCAATGTTCACAATTGGAGGTTTGGTTCCAGCATCGTTCAGTGGCTTGCAAGCGTGTTCCACATCCATTGGTGGAGTAGTTGCTGTCATGAAAGATCCCACACGGTTGTCACGAGACTTTTTACCACTTTCGTTGATTCCACCATGACTCGGTTTAGGCTTTTTCAAGTTGGTTTGCTGCATTTTCTCCGCTAGGGCCTTCACACTCACCGAGTCAACTGGCTTTGTTTCACCATCAGTTGCATCTTTGTTGGTGGAAATTATTTGAAGTTCCTCAAGTTTTGAATCCTCGGTATTGTTTTCGTGGCCACACTGTGAGGAATACGCCATGATGACATTCTCAACCTCACCATCACTGTCCTGTTTGTTTTCCTCATCATGGGATGGGCAGACCTCTTCCAGTTCACTTGTACTTTTGGACGCTTCATCAACAACTTGGGACTGTTTGTTGTGCTCTTCTAGACTTGTTTGTGGTTTGTTGTTTATTGTGGTTGGCATTTCAGAAGCGCTCGGATCTCTGTTATCTGGTTTGGTTCTGTTGTTTTTGATAGCTACCTCAGAGTTCTGCTGATGGAGAGCTGCTGATTGTCCCTGTTTGTTGACCTCCTTAGATGGAAGTATGAGCTCAGAGGGTCTACTGGGAACACATTCTCTTGGTTTCTGAGTTCTTATAACATCATTCATGCCTTGTTCTGAGGCATTGTTTGAGGACACTGTTTTCCTCATCTGCTCGCTGGCTTTGCTCTCATTTCCTGACATTGTCGGTCTCTTGTCCTTCTGCTTTTGTTGGTTTGTTTCAGGCTTGCGTACGCGAGGGGACATCTTCCGAGCGACGTTTCTCTGGTGAGCTCTTTCAGCCAAGCATTCGTTTGAAGGGCTGGTGGGAGCGGAGGAGCTGTGACGATGCCTGCTTACTGTTGGACTTGTCAGCTCGATTGGAAAGCTGTTGGGTGGTCTTATACCGCTAGGAGCCCCTGAATGGTTAACTGTTGGCTGATTCTGGTCTCCTTTGGTGACTCTACTGCTGGGTTCTGAGAGGTGCCTGTGAGGTCTTGGAAAGGTCAAGTTCCGATGCTTACTTGGAGAAAGAGGAGAGCGGGACGAGTGATGAACTCCACTACCATGTCGCTGTCGATGGTGAGGCTGTTGGTGATTCCCACTGGCGCTAGCTTGCACCTGGTTGTTCCGACTGCTAATAGGGAGTAAAGAAACCATAGGATGATCACCGTTTGAAATCAAGGGCTTCTGTGGTGGGAAAGTCTTTTCAGTGCACCCTGATTGTTTTGACAACACAACCGCGTTCCTGCTGATTCCAGGGGATTGGGGTGAGGATGACAATGACGAGCCATATTTATGAATCTGAGGCGAGTCTTGGAGAATCTGGGAATGTTTGGCACCAGTGTTCGGATGATATTTGCCATCATGGGTTGGTTGCGATGTGCTCCTGTTTGGCTTAGGAGATTGGATCTGAGTAGGTCTGTCATTAATGACATCTCTTCTTGAGGTAACTGCAGAATTACACAAGTTCCTCTGTGCAGAAGGTGATTGAGTAGAGTTCTCCGAATGGCTGCGATAAACATGTGTCTGCTGTTGTGGAGAACTGCCTCTGTTTTCCTCTGATCGACAACGATCCAATTTTCTCCCAATGTGTGGAGAATGAGGGGATGGTTCAGATATCATACCATTGTTCTGGACATGGTTCAGCTGATTAACGGAGACTTCTGGATTTTTCTGTAACATGTGTGATTTCTCGGATACAACAGAACTGTTCAGTCCCTGGTAATACTGCTTAAGTAAGGCCTCAGAAGATTGATCAGCCTGAGTTTCTTGGTAGTGAATCTTGTTGGTGTCCGTGTCCCTCGACGGAGGCCTGTGCTGCTCAAAATACTGCTGCTTTCCTTGATAACTATTCTCCATCCTAAAAGTGGGGAAGGGTGTGATGGAAGCATGTCTCTCCAGCATGGTTTCAATACTCTCGGAGCTTGTGATGGAGTGGCTGCTGTCTCCGCTTCCACTAGCGAGGGTCGGGCCAGCGTCGTATGCACTCCCTTGCTCCGAGGATGGCACTGTGATGATATGGTCAGGAGGCCTGCCCGTCTGGGACCGGACTACCTTCTGTTTCGACTGAGGGGAGTGAATCTCCAGGCTTGCTTTGCGTTTCTGCTGCATGCCAGCCTTGGGCTCCAGTGTCAAGCTCTCAAAGCTCTTGACGCTGCTACTGATGTCCTTCAGCTCCTGGAGAAGACTCTGAGCGTAGTGGAAAGGCGCGTGGACAAAGGGTTTGGTGTACTGCTCCCCGAGACTGAAACCGTTCCTTCCCGCTTCCCGGTTACATCCAAGACCACCTACTAGTTTCCTCTCAGCCACAGCATTGGCATAACAGTTCCTGAGGGCCAGAGCTTTAGCCGGGCTGGTGACTAACCCATTAGGGAGATGGTGGACAGGTTTACCCATCTCCCCCAAGTGTCTCTGGGATGCAGGCGACAGTAAGGAGTGCTCCCAATCCAGATCCTCAAGGCCCATGATCTCACCAGCGCCATCGCTCACATCATTCTCGGCAACGTTGAAACTGATCATGCTGCTCTGATGATGGTGTCCGTTGCTTCTAGCCGACAGCTGCCCGTGCCGGTAATCGGCAAATGCCTGGCAGTTGTGAGCATACATCAGCTGCTCCCTCTGCGGGGATAACAAGTCCAAGGTGGCGTCTGTCATAGTCCGGTGAGGGGAGTACAGCCCAAAAGAGTCGACAGGATGGCCTCCGTTGGTGAGGGGATAACCAGAGTCTGGGGAGGTCTCTTTATACGCGACGTTGATGTGTTCGTGACACTGAGTGACTGGTAACCGGTTCTGAGGCGACCTGGAATGTGGAGACCCATGGGGCTGATATAACACAGGCTGTGGAAGAGAAAGTCAAAATAAAAGGGTAACATTAAGTATACTGCAGCTACAAATAAAAGTTCATTATTTTTGTATGTTTTAGCTTTAGTTGAGTTTTAATTAGGTTAAAATGAATAAGGTACTTCCAAATGTCAACGTTTACAACCTTCCTTTTAGGGGCAATAATTTTGAAGCACTTTCAGATCTTTGGTATAAAGCGACAAGCACCTCATTATTATTAATATTATTATATAAACAGATACTATAGTTGATGTTAAGAGCTACTTCATTTGGTTTGGTAATATCTCTTTGCATGGAATAAAACACATTTTATTTAAAATAAAATGTGATGCTTCACCAGGAATTATTCTGAATGAAGAAATCAAACTTCTATCAAACAGTTTAAGCAAATCCCTAAGCAGTCAGGAATGAAACTAATATGAATAAGACTCAAAAGGCAACAGCCTGTTCACCTGTAATCAAATTTTTCAGATGAAAACCTATAGTGCTTCTGAAGATCAACATGTTCCTTTCATGTTTGCCAGTTGGAATTTCTGTCCCCGCATGGTTACTTTAAAACATGTTTACCTAAATGGCTTCTCTGCCCACTCCCTTCCCTTGACTTCCTGATTACTAGCCCTTCTTGCCCTACTTCGCCCTTAAGGATAGGGGAGGGTAATGTGCTGGGATCTCAATCAAGAGGATCTAAGTTTCCGAGCCAATCATTCCATGATCTTGACAGATACATCCCTGGTTGACGACCGCTGTGTCACACCACGGAAGGGGACTATAGAGAGAGCAGACAGGTCACAACGGCCGTCACAATTACATCCTTCCAGACCTCTCAACTCCAAACCCCCCCCCCCCCCATCTCCCCCCCCCCCCCCCCCCCAGGCAGAGATTTACCTTGGCGCCGTGCACCGGACTACCCTGGGCCTGTTCACACGATGACGAGGCAGGATGTGATGAGTCAGAGGACAGACCCTCGCCGGCGCTGCTTGTGCTGTTGAGCTGTTCCGGCCGGTGCCCTCCCCTGTCGGTGAACCGGCTGGGCCTGAGCTGCTGCAGCACGGGGCTGGCGTTGGCACTGCCGGACGGTGCCGAGCTCTGTGATTGGCCAGCGGACAGTGAGGACGGCGGACCAGGTGACATGAGATTGGCAAACGGGTGCTGGAAACAGCCCTGCGTGAGATCAGAGATTGAAAACAATCAATCAATCTTCTTAAAACCAACAGTTCCGGTTAAACAATTTGTAAGCTTTTAGAGTAAATTAAGTCTTGAGTTGTGAAACACTGGTATCTGTAACTTGCTGTAACTTTTGTGAAAAGGTAACTCAAGAAATGAGTAACTGAAATTAAAGCAATCACAAAACCAATGTAAGGAACAAAAACTGTTTGAAAAATCACTAAAAAAAATATATGAAGACTCTGTTATAGCAACAGAAGAGGTCTAGACAATTAATAAACACCACGACAACATAGAAATGTAAAAGCTGTTGAAAAAGTGTAATTACTCCATATTCTTTTTAGTGTGGAAGGCATCCACTAATCGAACAGAAAAGTTATCAGCAATTTTGTATATTTTTTGAAGCCCCGTCTTCCTCAATGATATTTGCAAGATGATGCGTGACAGGCAACGCATTTTTTCTTCCAGAACTCAACAATTGAAAACATTCTTAAATCTTCCTACTTCTGAAGTCTTTAAAGTTTTCACGATAAGTAGATAACAAAGTGTCAGTTAGATAGGTTTCTTGTAAGACATGGGGTGGTGGGGGGGGGGGGGGAGGGGGGAATCTCTTAGAGTGCCTGAGTGATGTCTCACAACTTGTGGGAGCCGTATTCCATTATCAGGTTGACACATGGGGGTGCATCTGCGTGTAGGGGAAACGTGGTGGACCCTGTGTGGTGTGATAAGACAGTCCGATGGGTGACACTCCCATTGACACATAAAATGTACAGTCATAGGGAGGTGGGTACAAGGTTGATAAGTAAAGGGTATCACAGACATCAGAATAGTGCTTCCGTATCGATGCGCTGGGAATCGCAGAAACAACAGTGAGAATGTGCGAGGAGACTTATTAGAAATTGGACTAGCTGACAGACATGATCGCGCAACGCATGGGAATGCCTAGGCTGGGCACGTATTTCTAGGGTTACTGAGGTTGGTTTTCAACACATGACTGATGGCCAACAATTCAGAAGCCAAACAGAAATGTGTGAAGGGCTCTGCAGATTGCTCAGGTTGATCTGCACAATGACAAGATGTATCATCATCAGTGAGCAATAATGGTATGGGTGCTTGTAGGAAACGCAAGTGTCTGAGACAAAGTAGGCAATGCCGACAGATACTTAGCGACAACTTCTCTAATTCCTATTCTATTCTAGGTATGCAGCGTCTTCCCGTGTCTTAATGCAAAACAGGCTCCAGAGAATGACTAGGAATTCGGTAAATAAAAAAAAGTTAAACCAAAAGGATGAAAAAAGAAAGGTAGCCAAACAAACAATGTAAAAGAAACTTCAAAGGAAGAAAAGAGAACCTAAAAATGGAGCCACAAGATGGAACGAAGGAACTATCAGGTAATTTGACTTGGAATTTGTACTCATTATTTCTGATCATATCAGTGCTCAAGCAATTTCTTATCTTGCATATAAACCACTACGTGCACACAATCAATTCTATCACGAAGGCCCCCTTCAATGGCGAAAGTATTGCACTAACTGTTGTTCAGATAATCCATCATGGGGTAGTTTCGTTTTGAAACAGCATGTACATTGGTTTCTCCATTGATGGGAACCTGTGAGTGTACAGTGATCACATGAACGGATTTGTACCCACACAGATCTTTTGAAATTGACTGGGATTCAGGATGGTATGGAGCCTAACAAAAGAAGAAATGCTTGATGCTCTTTGAAAATTTGACTACAAAGAATATGCCACTGATTTCTGGCAGGAGTTTGGAAATTCTAACATTTTCTGGAAAAGTGTTAGGGCAGTTAGCGTTTAAAGTTCAAAGCTTAACACGAGAATTGAAAAGAATAGGTCAAAGAGCAACAAAGACAAGCAGAAGAAATGCTTCTTTGAGTGTAGAATTTACGTCCAATGAGCGTTGAGGTTACTTCTCTTTGGTCGAGCGTTTGTTTATTGATCTCATCTTTCTAACATGCACATTCGTCTGTATGCAAAATCATGATTCACTCACCGTGTTCAGAAATGGACAAAAATCCAATCAGGTTTTTATGACTGTAATCATTTATCCGATTGCGACTCAAGTTTTCCGTCTGTGGTTTTGGGCTTCTATTTCAGAACTAATGAACACTGACTGCTACTTCCATTTCGATGTGCTGCGAAACACAGAACGTCTACTCAGACACATGAGTTATCACGGCAGACGATAAGATGTTACACACGCGCAGGATGTCAATCACCCACATGAGGCCTGACAGATAAGGATCAATGTGCTCAGGGATGTTATTCACTGATTTCAAGGGGCATTACATCCCGGAGTGCACCCCATTGGGCTACAAAACGCTCTTTAAATGAAAAGATGTTAATTGGAAAGAGCACTTAAAACTAGGATATAAACGTCCACACAACCATCCTTTAAAAAAAGGGTGTTTTTGTGTTATTCTGGAGAGAACGAATTTCGGGGGTCAAAATTTTGACTCTCGTAAACGAGCTGTTGGGTGCTAGTCATGAATCTTGCCACACATGTTCCACCATTGTATCATATTTGCGGACGTGCAAGAAACAACATTGTGTATTGGTGCTGTGTGTATTATGTGACACACACACAACGTGTACCGTACTTTGAATGGACACGGCTTGAAATACTTATGCGTAAGCCACAAAATGTCTGCCGTGTCAAAAGTAAACAACCAACATTTTTCATCTTTTCTCAGGAACAATGCGACATTAGGTTAGTTTCCTCTCAATCAGAACTTTGAAGGATGAGTAAACAATCGAAAACAAAAAAAATGTAGGCGATTGTAGGACGTGATGTCCCTTTAACATTCATGCTTTTAGTCAGTTTTGAATAAATGTGATTGGTTCTGACAAAGTGAGTCTTAAGGGAATTTTTTCACTTATAATGTTTTTTTATGTGTGGACGGAAAAACATACTCTACTATTTATTTTGATGTACAACTGACATCTAAATATATGCAGATATTATTTAGGTGGAAATTTTGATAAAATGAGTCTGAAGGGAATGTTTTTTCACACAACATACTCTACTATTTATTTTGATGTATGACTCAGTCTGACATCTAAATATATGCAGACATTATTCTGATATAAATTGTGGAGGATTTGTAAAATGATTTTTGCATGTATTTCCAAACCAACTCTGGTGACTTATGGCTCATTTTGCTGTGTTGGGTCACATCTGTGTTACAATTTCAAATTGAATCAAGACTCAAATGTTTTGTTATCCAAATATTTTTTTTTGGTCATTTGAATGATGGGATTCTTTCTGATCTTATTTTTGATTTCCAATTCAAGACTAATTTATGCAGCATCAAGAAACAGTCCACTGTGTTTTGTACATGTACATGTACAAGCATTTCCAACCAAACAAATTGGCATTTCTGACTCAACAATATAATGAGTCCAGTCACAAGCAAATCACATGTCAATTCACAAGTCCAGTCACAAGTAACAGAAGATGAACAATAACAGAGGAATGTCCTTGTCACAGTTCATTTACACAATCTTGTGACGTGGAACCCGATGACTTGGGATTGACTTTTGAGGATATCTGAGCACCCGTGATGAACTTGACTTCACCACCGCAAAATAGAAACTAACTATCATTTCTATAATATAATTAAATATCACAGAGACACAAAGATGAATGGACACACTCACGTCCAAACAGTAGGTCACACAGTGACAGACAGACTGACAGGAAAATTCCAAAGAATGGCACGGACTAGTTGTAACGAGCAATTTGACATCCGTAACGAAACTACAGCATACGACACCCAGCCCCATGGGAACCGGGCACATCCTTGCTATAGTATCACACACCAGCAGTCGTAGGAATGCAGATGCGAGACCGATGATTGAAAACACAAGAGGTCTAATCCCCTGGAGACTAGTGAGGAGACTATACACAATGTCAACCCCCACTCATAAGAGCTATATTGGGACCCTGACTCACAACTGCTAGTGATGTAGTTTAGCATCTTTTCTTGATATGACTACAGAACCCTTTGTAATTTGTACTTATTCGAGTGCTAACGACGCCTGACGCTCACACGAAGACACTATGGCTAATAGCTTTGGCTAATAGCTTTGGCACAACTAGGAGGTAGTGCGTACTTCTCGTGCGAACCAGTACAGTACGCGCACGCTGTGTGTCCCGTCCATGGGGCTCTCAAAAGTGGTAAAAATAAAATGCGCCCTCTTGTGTTGGTGCACAGAGCCAATAGTATGAGAACAGAAATCATTATTTGAATGAATTTAAAGCGATCGGAATTGTTGGTTTTTGTTTTTTCCCCCTCCAATTTTCAAATGTCCTGCCCCAATTAGTCTACATTCTTGTTACTGAAGGGAATGGATTCTTTGTTTAACTTAACAGTTGTTTTGAGTTATCAGAGTTTGACTTATCAAGATTTCACAGTATTATCTTTACCATACCAGTAGCTGCAGCTATCCCGAATCCATGAAAAATACATTTTCAGGTTTTGCAGTATTTAGATAGATTTGTATTTCCAAAATAAGTCAATTGACTGATCGTTAGAAATCACCTACATTTCTTGATTTCTCCTAAATGACAGCAAGCCGGACTGAATAACTTCACGGGCTGTTTAGTACCGGTACAATCTTTAATCCAAGTAAGCATCTTTGATAATAATGTGGCAAGTTACTTTTGGGATAAATACAAACGATCCTATATGCCTTTCAGTGCAAACGATGTACCATTGGGATGCACCAATGTTGGTGTATTCACAAAGATTCCTGGCATACGATGGGTTAGTGCCAAGAAAAGTCAACGCTGGCTGTACTGACCTGGAGGGGTGTGAGTGGGCCATAGCATGGTCGCTCTCTCTCAAACAGACACTTCAAGTTGCGATTCTGTTGTTCTAATTCACGCACACGGTTGTGTAGCTTCATGCATTCTTCCTTCAAGTCCTGTGACAAAACAAAAACAAAAAACACCCACAACTCAGCACAGTGTTAATGTTTTACATGTACACTGCCCGACAGTTTAGTTATTTTCTGCCCAACAGTCAGTAAAATGTACAACAAATTTTGTGTTTTTGATGCTGTGTGGTATGGGGTGTGCGGTATAGGGTGTCACTATGAACATCTTTATCCCTTACAAATTCATTAAAAGTCCATTTCTCCGTGAAAAGAATCTTTAAGAGATGTTTCATTTTTTACATGGAGCTCATATAGGACTAATCCTGTAAGGTTATTTTCACGTTTTTTTAATGACCCTGGCCACTGAGGATTATCATTGGTTATACATAACGGTACACTGGGTCTATCTCCATGGGTAAACAAAGGACTTTCTTAAGGGTGTTTTCACTGACTCCTAATCTGGCTTAATATGTTGAAAAATCTGTGAAAATTTAGTTAACTGTAATTTCAAGGGAAAATGGCTCTTTAACGAATTTTTAAGGGATGAACATGTTCTAAGGGGTTGGGTGGGGGTGGGGATAGGTTTTGAGATTGGGGGAGGGGGAGGGGGGAGGGGGAGAGGGGAGGGGGAGGTGGGAGAGGGGGGAGGGGGAGAGGGGAGGGGGAGGCGGGAGAGGGGTGGGGTGAGGGGGGTGGGGAACAACCACATGTGGAGAAGTCATCACTACTGAATTGGCCAACCATTGTTAAACAAATCCTTTAAGGAAATAGAAGCAATATGGATTGGACCCCATGCACAATAATTGTAAATACACAGAACATCTCGGGGGAATGTGGAAAAACTTGACAGAGAATGAGGTGTTCGCACTTTGAGTTGTTCACTTCAGCGGCACCATCGAGTACAGTTTAAAGATAATTACAGGGAGGGTAAATTACAAGTTTCCTGTGTTAATGAATCAGTGTAGAACCGAGGAGCCCTGGTTGGGCAAGAGGGTCCGATGATTAATCAAACACATGCTGGTTGTGGCTCCTCGTAGGCAAGTCCCTCACAGGTCCCCAAACTGTCACACAGTTTCTGCTTTTGAGGGATATTTGCGACGCCTTGTGTCAAAACCAGACCCTTTTGGGCAGAGCTTCAGAAAACAAAACAAAAAACAAAAAAAAACATATAACCACAAAAAAAAACCTATGTAACTATTTTCCTATGTAACTTTTTGGAGCAGTTGCCAAGAAGTGACTATTTTTTGTTATTCAAAACTGATTCAACGTATGATCCCATGTGTAAAGTCTTATGACTCCAATGAAAACAATGACTAAGGGCCGAGTCTGCTAAATGACAGAAAAAGCAGACTGTCAAGTCTTTTAAAGTCCTCACAAGTCCATCACAAGTCCACCACAAGTCCTAACTAGCCATCACAAGTCCTTACAAATCCTTACAAGTCTTTACAAGTCCATCACAAGTTCATCACAAGTCCTTACAAGTCCATCACAAGTCCTTACAAGTATTTACAAGTCCTTACAAGTCCTTACAAGTCCATCACAAGTCCTTACAAGTCCATCACAAGGCAACTGAAATTCCTTCACAGTCTCAAGCAAAATCTCATAAAATATGACTTTGACTCAAAGTGTGAAGCCTGCAGAAATCCTACAAACAGTCAAGGATCAAAAGCCAACAGAATAATCCAATAATGTTCAAGCATAATCTTCGGAATCCAGCAAAACTAAACAACATCCAGGTATCAAAAGGTTGTGACATTGAATAGAATCCCACCTGTCCAAAAGAATCCAGTAACAGCAATGTGTGAAATTTAACAAATCCAACCAAATTAAAAACTGAAGTGTAAATCCTGACAAATCTAAAAGAACCACCCCCCCCCCCCCCCCCCCCAGTTATCTGCTTTAAAGAGATTCTGCAGTGAAGAAGTGCTCGTGATGGAATGCACCTATGGAAACTGGCTATTTAATCAGTTAAAACAGAAATTGAAATTTACAACATTACAATGTTCAACAGGGTATGACAGGCTTGTCCAGCTCCAACAGACTGTTTTAATCCTGCTGTTTTTGTGATAACAACTTTACAAATCAAGACAAAATGAAGCCATGAGCAGTCAACTCAGTTGACCATCTGAAAGCTGGCCATCACTGCACAACCTTAGTTCCAAGACATCCTTAGCCGCGTGATGTTTCAGTGCGCATGGATTATTGGACTGTGCAGCAATTTACCGAAGTGGGCACCCTTAACACACAAGCCAACAGGCCGCAAAGGGCATCTTGAAAATTTCATATTTTCTGCTCTGGAAATTCCAATCAGAATTGTGTGTGCATTTGCATGCCTGTGTGCCATAAGCATGTCTTGTACTGCAGTTTTCCAAGCCACATGTGTACAGCTTGCAAGCAACCCGTTGGATGAAAAATGTCGACCGCTTCGACAAAGCAATCAATTTGGCAGCAAAGAAACTGGGCCTTGGAAGGCTCAAAATTAGTGTTCTTCATCAATGTGGAATGTGCCATGATTCGAACAAACTGGTCAACCAGTAAACGCCTAGTGCCATCGATTTCACGTGTACGGTACATGTAAATCACCTGACTAACTGTTTTCGGAACAGCTCTTTTGTTTCCACCAATGCGCATGTGCTGCTGTTTTGCATATTAAGTCACACCACCAATGCGCATGTGCTGCTGTTTTGCATATTAAGTCACGCCCCTTTTGCAATGCAATTTCCCAAGACATTCTTTGCGTGCAGTTTGTCGACCGAGTCAGGTTCGTGAATGGGAACATGCATACTGCTGCGCGGTACAAGGCTGTGCCGTCTTGCGCGAACTACCCCGCTAAGAACGTCTTGCACCAAGAACAACCAAAAAGTCAAGTTTACGCCATAAAAATGGCGGTTCCTGGCTAACAAATGACCCGCCCATTCCCCCTTTACCCGTCTTTTCTCACCTTTAGGGCTTCTTTCAACAACAGTCCCAGAGAAACCACAAACCAGGAAAGATGCTCCAGTGAGACATCCTGATCCCCCATCGCCGAAAGCAGCAAGTGGAATCCGAACCCCTCGAAGCGCAAACTCAGAGTATTCGGCGCTGATTCACGGACCCCTATTTAGCTGAGGAGTCGCTGGGAGGATTACTTAGAGCCAGCCCATGAGGAAAGTCTTTCGACATGGATGAGTCCGTAGGTCTTAGTAGGGACTGCCATCAGAGTGGAAGCTCATTCACACGGCGAGACAGGCAACATTTCACAAGAAAATCACGAGGTTTGGAAACAACTCGACTTGAACTGTACAGGTGCTGGATCACTAAAACAGTTGCTGGCTGAAAGAGTACGGAAGCCAGCCATTGGTAAATCAATCACCGTAGTAACATCCCAATTTACAAGTGTGCTGAACTGCAAGTAGCGACTCATCTGATACGCATAGACGTATCAGCAAACTGCAGGTGCCAGGGTGTGTGACTCAACCGCTTAGCATCCGAGCACTTGGTGACAAAAAAATCATATCTAACGAAGTCTGTCTGATAAAGCTTTCGTGTCGACAGCAAAAAGCAAATACCCCTTCTACAAAGTTCCGAGAGATTATTGTCTCATCAACTTTCCATCACTCCTGCAGCCTGCCTAAGGTGAGGCATTAATATGGTGCCAACAACCGTGTCAAAAATTACATTAAACCCTGCTGACATTGCAAAATTAAAAATTAAGACCACTTACTGTGGTCATTCTGACTAACCGTACAGCTGACGCACCAGCAATGCTTTGCTCAGACAAACTGACACCTTATCAGGTGGGACAAAAACACTGTTAATGGTCATTTCCTAATATAAGACCTATGCATCTGTCAAGTTAACCCTAACGACCGTGAGTAATATTTGTCAAACAACTCTCAAATTTAAAATATCCTCTTTTTTTACACCAATTAATGCAATTCTGACTTCCTGTTAAAATTTCATTGACGGCTGTGGCAACTGGTGTGGCAAACATGTGTTCTTCATTTTCTTAAAACCAAATTGAAACCGTAATTCGCCTGAACAGCTACGTACACTTTGTATCATCCACAATTTCCTCAGAAGTTTGATTCTTAGACAAATCGCCTGGTGTGCTTTCCAAATACTATTTATTGACCTTTACAACAGCTCACTGCTACCTCCCACACATAATCCATAAGCTCGCGATGTGACTTATCTATTCAACCATATCTTACGAGCGACATTGAAACTAAGAATAAAGTGAAAGAAAACACAATTTATCAACAACCAATCTCCAAAGGCAGTCTTAGTAAAGTGCGGATCCAAAGCACAATTTTCTTGGGGAAGGGGCCCAAAAAAATTTGTTTTGTATCCCAAAAAGTGGGTCCAAAATATTACGGTGAGGGGTGACGTTGCAATCAAGTTAGGCACTGCAGACACCACCATCTTTTCCTCAAAAAAATTTGGTTAAAGTGGTCAGAAATTGCCTCAGATAGCACCACAGAAGATCTAGAATCCAAGAATCAAATTCTGACCACTATAACCAAATTTTTTTGAGGAAAAGATGGTGGTGTCTGCAGTGCCTAATTTGATTGCAACGTCACTTAAAAAAAAAATTGATTAGTTTTTTTTTTGGGGGGGGGAGGCATGGCCCCGGTTCCCCCCCCCCCCCCCATCTGCCCTTGGTCTTAGTCAAAACCTTTGGGAGTGTACACATAGTCTGTATGTGCTAACTATCGGTACCCTGGATACACATGTAGATGATGTATGAACAATTTCCTGGGAAATCCCACACTGGTTTGGGACTGGAAGGGACACCAGTTTCCAGGGAAACCCCAATGGGATATACCTGTTTTCGACTCAAAACTTTCTCTTAGCTGTTTTCCTTAAGGACATAAATACTTCAGCTTCCCTTAAAGCTACAGTCCATCATTTGCAGCTATCCAAAAAGTAATACTTGTTGACAAGCATGCTTGGTTGAAAGATAGTAAGGGGATAAACTCCCTCCTTATGAAATATTTTTTTCTGGCAAGCTGTCATTTGGAAGAAATCAACGAAAGAAGGCCTTTCCTTTCCAACAGTGCGTCTAA